AGAATTATATCCTTATCTCCTTCCCTATTAAGCTTAATAAATACTATAGCTGAAAATACTTTTACTTTTCCTCCGCTAAGTAAGTTAAATATACTAATTAACTCGCTCCTCCCTTTAGTAGATCTATTACTAGAACTACTTACTACTATAGCCTTAGCTAAGCGTTTTCTAGGAAAATATCCGATTTAATATAAGACCCTATTAAATCCGCGACTTTTATTATAACTTACTTAGTTCGGTTATTATTTATAACTATAGTAAACTAATAACCTCTACTATAAGAAAATAATAAGAGACTTACTATAATAAAGGGTTATCTTAAGATTATATTATTCTCTGCTTACACTAAAGTAAAAAAACTCCCTGCTATTAAGATACTTCCGATCTCTATAGTGACTCCCTTATATAACCCCTTGAACTTCTTTTACTCCCCTAAGTAGCTTATTATTCTAAGATTAAAGTTAGGTCAAATAGGGAGCCCGGCTTTTAAGGTAATTATAGAAGTTATTAGATTAGCCTCTGATTTATAATTAATAAGCGCTATTATAATTAGAGAGCTTAGTTAGACTTTAACCTTTAGGCTCTTAATTACTAAGACTTAGGAGTCCTTTAATATCTCCTTTACCCCCGCTGACTTTCTTAATACTAAGTTAGTCTAATTACCTCTAACTCCTCCCTTAGAGGTCTAAAGTAACTTTATTATAGCTATGTTTTTAAAAAGTAGTTTCTATAAGAGCTTAAAGCACGTGAGTACTTCCCTACTAGTAATACCCTTTAGTTCGTTATCTAGGACCTTATTTAATAGCTCTAGAAGCTACGCCCTTTACTTTAGGATATCTAGGTACTACTTTACCTTTCTAGTAACTCTCGGATTAACTTTCTTTAATTTCTTAGTCTACTCCTTATTTATTTTTATTTCTTTAATAATCTCTCTTTACTATACTCTTTCCTCTAATACCCTTTTAATTAGATTCTTCTACTTCTACTTTCTAAGTTATAGAACTTTTAGAGCTACTAAGTCCTTTTCCTTCTTAACTCGCCTTTTTAATACTTTCCTAGAGTTTACTTATTTATTATCTTTTCCGCTTTTTAGTTTTTTACTTCTAGCCCCTGATATTCCTATAGCTTCTTAGTCCCTCTTATCTTCTTTAATATCCGACTTATCCTAAGTTATTACCTTTACTACTATTACTTTCGCAGGTTTAGCCTTATTTATAGGGTACTATAGTACTTATATTAGCTATACTATTAAACTACTCCCCTTAGCTTATCTCTTATTAGTTCCTTGTATCGAGGTTCCTCTCTAACTAGCTCGTATACTCTCTATTACTAGGACCCCCTTATATTACTTAACTAACTATCCCCTGCTACTTACATATTTATAATATATCTAGCCCTGATAGTTATATATAAGCCCTTTTTCTATATCTATTAGGAAGTCTAAGTAGTTCCTACGGAAATACATATTTTCTAAATAGTAGAAATATTAGTTCTAGCGATCCTTATAAGTACTTACTATATATACTCTAATTAGTAAGTTATTTAAACGCTAGGGTTAGCCCGAGTAAGCCTTCTATAGTAGTCTAGATAAATTAACTTAACTACTAGGTCTTACTAAGTAAGCTCCTAACTAATTTCCCTTACTAAGTAAGTTAAATCCTAATTTTCCCCCGGGTACTTACGGAGCCCGCGATACTCTTATAGCTAGCGCTAGCGCGTTAAATACCTAGGTTATCTCCTCTACTACTTCTATAGATATAGTTTTTAAGCTAATAATAGGGGGAACTAGCTAACTCTCTGCCTTAAAGGTAATAAGTACTTAGCTAAGCGAATCTACTAATTTATTAAAGCTTTCTTATTTCGTGTGATTATTAGAAAACTCTTAGACTATCTTATTAGATATATAAATCTTAGTAGCTATCTTAACTAAGTCGTTAAACTTAATTATACCCGGCTTATTAATATTAATCTTATTCTTATATATTACTTTCCTACGAATATCCCCTAGTAGCTTATTTAAGAACTATATTCCCTGAATATAATTTTCTAACTAGTCTCTTTTTACTAGGGTAGCTGATATTGTAGTGAATTATTAAATAAACTACTTTATATCACTTTCTATAGTTCGCGGTTTTAACTTTAGAGCCTTAAGGAATAATCAGGAGTTTATCTATTAAAAAGTATCCTAATCCTTATACTCCTCTAAAAGAGAGACTACTAGCTCTTCCTAATTCTTACTCGTTTACTCTAGTAGCGTCTTAATATACTAACTAATAGTAAGATTATAATATTAAGGAAGCTATTTAATTCAGTTCGTATCTTTTAATTAAGCGTTATTATACTAATTAGTATACTATTCTAAGAACTCTGTAATATTAGCTCTCTTAAAGTATAGCGCGCCTAGTATACCCGGGGCCGGTATAACTGAAATATACCTAACTTCTACTATCCTAGAATTCGTAGTCCTTAATTCTTAATAGCTTTTCTCCCGGACTTAAATATATTCTACTATATTACTTTCCTTTATACCTAGTGTTCTCTAGTTCTTAGGATCTCCTAGAAATATAGTTATATTAGGGAATTTAGTAAACGATTTAAACCTTTAGTACCTACTTATAAGGTATAGTATACCTAATATTACTAGAGTTAAAAGTGCTAGAGTTACTAGTAGAAGCGTAGTAATTATACTTCTTATAACCTCTAGACTTAGCTCCCCTAACTACTCTAACCTCCTTAACCTCTTTTTCTTATATCCCTTTTTCGCCCTACTTTAGGCCCCTTTTTTATATTAGACTTACTTTCTTTTTATATTTATCTATTCCTTACTTATTTTTCTTATATAAACTTTCTCTATTACTATAGTAACTTTATCTTCTAAGCTTATTATAATAACTTTCCCTTCTATACCTCCTTAGCTCTCTCTACTTATATTCCGCTATTTCCTAATATCTTATCCGCTGAATAGAAGCTCCCTAAGCCCCTTTTTTCTAGCTATTTCCTATATATCTATCTATTATTATAACTAAGTTACTAAGTAATAAAATTCTAATTCCTACTTTTACTACTAGCTTAGTTATATCCTAACTATTCCTCTGCTTTACTTCTAGTTCCCTACGTAAGTTACTAATATAAAGAAGTAAGGTAGTGCTATTAAAGTGTATAGTAAGCAGGGATATAAAGGACTACTAACTAAATAAGTAGTAAGAGTAGGAGAGAGAAGATAATATATTTATTACACGCTATCGCGCCTATCTATATAACCTTATAGAACAAGCTAACTATCTTCCGACCTAGAACTATACTACCTCACTACATTATAATATTATATCTATTACGTAAAGCCTCCCTCTCTAATCTTATTTAAAATAAAGTTATTTATATTATCCTCTTACTTTAAAGTAATAATATAGTATTAATTCTTAAGGGAAAGTAAAAAAGCAGCTAAGTAAATATTAAGAAGTTACGTATTCATATAATAGTTCCACTTACCCTTACCTTCTTAAAAGTAATAAGTTTCAACCTCTTACTACTAGCTACTTATACTTAAAACGCGATAATCTTAAAAATAACGATTAAGTCTTATCTACTAAAAATATACCTTATTAAAGGTAGTATAATTTAATTTAAATATCTTTTATTTGTTATAGATTAGCTCTAAGAAGGTCTTTAGCAAAGTAAGCTTTTACTAATTAAAGTAGTCTCGCTTTAGCTCGGATTTAATCCTCACTAAGTTATTACTATTATCGTTAAGTCGATCTACATATAATTAAAGTGATTTAGAGCTCCTAGTAATAGATTGAACTTAAGAGTATTATATTCCCTAACGTGTTAGTATAGTAGAAATTAAAGTATAAATACCGTTATTAACAGCTATAAAATCATAAAAGTAGGCGAGCTGTTTATCACTTTTAGTAAAAAAGGATATAATAGCATTTAAAACAGACTTAAAAAAAGCTCTAATTTAAGTGTAAATTTACTATCTCCTATTATCCTTTCCTAAAAATAAAAGATCCTTAAATATAAGCTAAATACTATAAGAGTTATATAAGAACAAAATAATATAGCTATAACCTAGTTTTAAAGGTAGAGTTTTCTAGACGGCTCGTTAAGTACTACAAGTATCAGAAGAGAAACTCGTCTAGTAAGGAAGTGTATTATTAGTAATTAAATTAGTGTATTTAACGATATTTTTAACTATCTATTCTACTCTAGCTTTAATAGCTCTAATTGCCTTACTCTTCTAATAGTATAATATTCCTCTAACTAAAAACGATATATTTTCAATGTATACCTTTCCGATATTTAACGATTTATCACTAATAATTTATATATAAAAAGCTATATTAGTAATTCCTTAAATAAAGTTCTTGATTTTATTATAGCAACTTATAAGAAGGGAATTACTAAAAGCATTATAATAAGGAGGCTTATAGTTGATTTTATACTAGAAAGCTTGCTATTTTAGAGTTAAGAATATAGAGAAGTTTACTATAAAGGTATATATAACAAGGGCAAAAAGCTTATCTATAGTTATATCTTTAAAATCGTAAAAATCAGCGATAGATAGTTATTTTTTCCGTAAAGATTCAGTATCTTTTCTAGTCTCTTTTATAGCTTTCTTATACTTCTCGCACTTTATAAGATATAGCTTTTATATCTTTATAATATTCTATAATTTCTCCTACTTATAGTATTTACACTTCCCTTAATCTTATCCTTTAATGTCTTTATATCTCCTGAATTATTCTTTTATATGTTTATCCTTAAAGCTAGCTTACCTATTTGTAAAGGCACGCTAAGTGTTTATACCACGTTATACAAGTATTATAGTGAGTTATAATATTAATAAAATAGGTGAAAAGTCAATTTTAAGGGATTTAGATCCAGGTGGGATTTTCAAGTAAATAGAGGCCTCTGATTAGCTAAAATAAGCTAAGCGAGAAATGAGCCTGTTCCTTAGCAGTTAATTCACAGTTAATACTTAAAGACTATTAATCTTGGCATTAAATTTAATGACCCCCCCATTAAATTTAATAGTGCAACCCTAATTAGCTGAGCTGACGGGACGAGCTTACAACCTTGGCCCAAACGATGCAGAACAAGGGGTCTATCAGATTCCTTCACACAAGTCATATAAACAGCAGCGTCCACCAACCACTTATCTTGTTCTGTTCCCTTCTTCTACCACTTCTCGCTACTTTTTGGGAATTGTCGATCTCGTTCTTTTTTGAATACATTCTTTCCGCTGGTCGGTCTTCTGCCATCTTACTCTCGTTAATTACCTGCCGGCCAGCAATTCACTCACTCACCACCCAATTCTTTCTCGTCTCACAACCTGCCTGTAACTCTTGCTCAATATCTCTTTCCGCACACACCAGCCAACACCGACCTTGAAGAAATAAGCCAATAACAAACGTTCTCTTTCCAACCGGCAACATGCTCACCAACACCAACACCAACACCACACCCACAACCCCTCCTCGCCCGTCCTACAGGAAACACACTCGCGCCTTGTCTCGAGATCTCGGTTTCAAGACCATTCCTATGTTTGAGATGCCGGTGGAGAACAGAATCCCGGAACATAGTAAGGCGTCCTACACCAGCTTGTTGACACGGGCACGAGGGTCATCGTCACCGCCACCACCACCAACTTGGTTGAGAAGATGAAAAACATTTATGAATACCTGCTGAGGCGGTCTTTGTGTAAGATATATTTGTTTCAAGCATATACACAAAGGGGAAGAGCTGACGTCTCGGGATGGAATAGCATCCCGGAGGACTTGTAAGATAATGGTACACGTTGGTGGTCGAAGGGAGGAATTGAGAGCGAAAGCTTCCTCAGGGTGGTTGTTGGAGAGGATATGCCACTGGGCAGGACAGTTTTGGTAGTGAGAAGGAGCTGGATAAGCGGATTTAACAGAGATAACAATGAAACAAAAAAACAAACAGAACAACCAGATCAGATAAGTCATGACCAAGGGTATCATTACAGATAGACAGATAGGCAGGGTGTGAGACTAACATGACAACTATCTACCACCCATCAAATCATCGCCAACAAAAGCGCTGATCCCTTATTCCCTAGTTCCCTCTCCTTGATTGGTTTCGACTTTTTGGTCTTCCCTTTGACATCCTTTGAATCCTTCTCAATCGCCGCAAGTTCCCTCCTCGCTTTCTGATCCGTGGTCTCTTCCGTCGCTGCCTTTTGCAGTTTCGTCTTATTCTTCTTAAGAACTTTCAAGACCTCGTCCTTCTGTGAAAAGGTAGGTGACTCGAGAAGAGCGAGTACAACGAAAGAACTTGATCCTGTAGCCCACTCAATGATATAATCTTTAATGTTAGGGTACAGAATATCGGCGAAATTGAGGGCAGGCTCCACAGGTACGACGGCCTTCGTCTTGGCGTCGTATCGGCCGCCTGCGATGAGGGATTTAACCATCTTACCGCCGTGAGATGTGCTGGCGAGATGGGACGGCGGTTCGATTTGAGGTTCTCCCTCAGCAACACCGGGTTGGACGTATGTTGGGTCTCCAGCGGCGGTCTTGGCTATGGCCTCAAGTGCCGCGGTCTTATCACCTTCGGCAGCAAGAAGAACTTCAGTCATGAATTGAAGCCCGAAACTCGTCGAGGCTAGTTCTGATGCTGCGGCTGGGATGGCCTTTAGAAGAATTGGAGACAGAGCCTTGACCAATTCGCTCCGTCTGATCTCGGGGTCTTTCTTACTAGTCGTGAACCTGACTTTGTCAACTTCCCCGAGGATCTCGAGATCGGTTGAGTGGCTTCCAGGGAACAGTGCTCTTGATCGTCCTTGGAAAAGATATAGCAAAGTGATACGGGCATTGATATCGTTTGCAAAGAATACAATGTTTTCCACTTGCTTATCGTTATCCTTGCTGAGCAATTCAGGGAAGATGGATTTCGCGGTCAGCACTGTATCGTCGATAACCTCGAAGGCAGTGAGGATGACAATATGAGCATTTGGATCGCCAGCCATTAGCTGTAAGGTGTCCTTATAGGTCTTAAGGATTTGCTTTCGGTCTTTGGCAGTTCCGTAAGCCAAAGCAAGGCAAACCACCCTCGAACCAGACCTTGTAAAAGCTAAGTTCTTGAGTAAATCACCTTCCTCATCACCCTTGATGATCTCTAAATACTCAGTAACCTCTTCAGTGCCTTGTTTGGCGTTGAGAAAGTACTGGAGCATAGCATCGTGAAGGAGCGTGAAGCCAGTCATCTTCTTCTGGATGAGCTGATTGATGAGTTCCTGGAGAGATCGCATAATCGGACCTCGCTTTCCGGCATCCACAGCGAGAATGTCAGCAAGGTCTCCAGTGATCTTCTCGGACTTGTCTTTCTGGAACAATGCGAACTCTGCGCCATACCACTCTCGAAGTATGGTCGCCTTTTGGTGTCGCGTAGCCACTCCTCGGTAGACATCGTCGAGAATCCAGGAAGCCTCTGGGTGTTTGATGAGTCTGCGAACATGGCCAAAGAACTCCGGTAGGATTATATCTCTGATCTCGTCGTCATTCTGTACCAATAGCTTCCCGATTAAGAACTTGGCGTATCTGCTTTCTGCGAGTTGGCGGTATGATCCAGCGAGTTCCTTCGCGATTAACTTCCTCTGCTCTGCATTGGCATATTTGATGGCGGTCTGAATAACTCGAACACTGTCGTGCTTGAGAACATAATCCTTGATCTTACCAGTGATGATCTCGAACAGTTCGCCAACCAATTGTTTTCGCTCTTCGAGTGGAACGTGGGATTTCCGACGCAGACGTTCCCAAATCTTCTTCGTTCGGGCCAGTTCGTCAGCTAATGGTTTCGCTGCCTTTCGTTCTTGCGCCAGGGCCTTTTGCTTTGCATGTGCCTCGCGAGATGATTGGCCTAATTCAATGTTAGACCTTACAGTAGCTCTTCATGACGAGCCACTTACTATTTGTTACCACAGCTTTTGCTCTGTCTGGGTGCAATCCGTCAGCAGCCTTTGGAAGCTCCTCGAAGTCACTTGATTCCTCGTCCTCGCCTTCTTCCTGGTCCGAACCACTCTTCTTGAATTGATAACCAAGAGGAACCCCTCCGTCCGAGTCCGAATCATCAGAGTCGTCGTCACTCGAATCTTCGATCTTCTTCACAGGGGCTGGCTTTCCTTTCTTTAGTGCGGGCCTGACCGCAACGTCAATTTTCGGCTTCTTGCTCTCTTTGACGTGTACATTCTTGACAGGAGCTGACTTCCTTTTCGTGCCAGCCGAGGCAGTCTTCGTGGTGGTTGCTGAAGGCATTGTGAAATACTACCACAAAAATTTCTTTGAACTGGCAGAAGTTCAAGTATGAAGTTTTCTCTTATCGAGCTTTACAAGATCGCCGCTAGACCTACTAGAGCTAGCCCTGTAACCCCACCACCAGATTTCATCGCCGAATTGTCTGTTTGGCACGAGAGAATACGTGACATAGCCCTCAAAATGGGTAGAGAGGAACAGATTGAGGAGAGGGAAGTCCTCGATAGTATCTTCCCAGAAGAAATACAAGGTGCGTCTCCACGGTGTCTCGAAGCACCACCTGCACCACCTACCCCGCGACGCGGAGAATATAAACTCAGGCAAATGTACTCACCATTCTACAGATATCTCAGATACAGAATTTCGTATATCTGTTCTACTAGATATCACGAACGATGAAGACGATGAATCAGAACCCCCCACCATTATTCTCCAGATCAAATATCCTGAAGACTACCCTGAAGAACCTCCCACGCTGGATCTCCTCCCACCTCCAAATGCGCCAATCCATACCTACTTCAGCGTTGCCTCGGACAAAGACGCGCTTCTCGAGAGCTTAAGAGAGACAATCGAGGAGAATATGGGAATGGCCATGATCTTCACCATCTACTCGACTTTGAAGGATAATGCGGAGCAACTAATTGCCGAGCGACAAGCAGCTGCGCGAGCAGTGCATGAGGAGAGACTACTTGCTGCTGAGAAGGAAGAGAATAAGAAGTTTCATGGCACGCCAGTGACACCGGAGACATTCATGAGTTGGAGGGAGGGCTTCAGAAAGGAGATGGAGGAGTTGAAGCTGAGGGAGGAAGAGGCCGATGAGGCCGCGGAGAAAAAGAAGAATAGAGGAAAGGATACGGTGGTGCAGTTGACAGGGAAGCAGCTTTGGGAGAGGGGTCTGGCAGGCAAGATTGAAGAGGATGAAGATTATGATGATGTGTTACCTGCTGAGGTGGAGAAGCTCAAGGTTGAGGCATGATGGGGATGGATGGATTGGTCAAAAGCGTGGATATCATTGTGGGCATTGAATGGGGGAGTTGCATTGCTGGCGTTCTGGATGGGTAAAGATTAAGACTGTGACAATGTTGTTTGCTTGTCAATGAACATAGAAATTCTACATGATTCTTTTGTGCTTGACACTCATAAATGGATCTGAACTAAGATCCAATGGCGCTAACATGATTTTGAAACCCAACGCCGTGACGCCTTGCAATGAGAACCGGGATGACAGCCACATGGTTCTTATGCCCCGACCATCTCTTCATCCTCATCGCTGCCATCGCTCGAGTCATCCCCGTCTTCCTCTTCTGCTGGAGCTACTCCACCAAGTTCGGCATTGATCTTTGCAAGTAACTCTTTAGCATGTTCTCCCAGTCTCTCGTCTTCGTAGTCTTGCTGCTTGAATAGCCGAAGACTCTGATCAAGCCATTGCCGACTTGAAATCCACGAAACTCTCCAGCTATCACCGTCACCATCCTGTACCTTGACCTCTCCATTTTTCTGCTTTTCTCCCAAGATGTGCAGTCCCCATCCGCCTAGATACCAAACTTCTACACTGCTGTCGTCCTCACTGACTAAACGTTCCAGCACTTCAATAGCCTCAACGTCCATGTCCGCTTCCATGAGCAGCCTAGCTAGACTGACTCGAGTCGGGAAATCCGGGACAATCGTATTCTCAGGAGGTAAATCTTTCCACAGATCCAGACTCCTTTTTAGCGCCGCCCTCGCATCATCCATCCTCTGCTGAGAAATTCTCACATTGGCAAGCGTCTGCCATGGCTCCGCAAATTGCGGCGCAACCATGGTAGCCTCCGTAACCAGCGCTTCACACTTTTGCTCTGCATCATCCTCCCAACTCAGATCCGTCATGTACACTTCCACGACACCACACAGCGCCACAGCCAATTTCCTTGTCTTCTCCGCCTTTGCTGCCTCCCCTTCCTCATTCAACTTCCCACTGTCGAGTAGAGCTTGGATCTGTAACCGCAGACTCATGGCCCCTTTCTCAAACCAATCGACACTATCTTGACCACCTTCCTCGCTCAATTGCGCCAGCCAGAGGAACTTCTCTGCGCCGCCGCCGAGCTCTTCAGGAACAGAACCATCATCGTCAATTGTAGCAGCTTGGAGAAAGTATTGTCGCGCGGAATCAATATCGCCCAATTCAACGTGTATCTCGCCCAAAAGGTTGAGTGCAAGAAGTGCCTCTTGAGACTCTTCATCGAGTAGCCGCAGTGCCTTCAATGCTGGCTTGACTGACCCCTCAATATTGCCTTTCTGTAACTCGAACGCGGCGTCCGCCAAAAGGTCGGCGGGAGAAGACATTGTGGTCTTTGAGGGATTGGTTGACTTCTTCTCTTTCTTGGACTTCTTGTTGCCTGGTTTTGTCTTGGCCATTGCTCTTTTCGCGTTGCTGGACAAGGCTGAGATTTTGGAGACAAAATTATTTTCTCGGGAAGTGGGCTGGAGGCGATGACGAAGTTGATTGGAGGGGGCTCCTTGCTAGCGTAAGATTGTGGGAGAACCCCTCTCTTTTTAATGCCTTGATACTAGTAAAGCCCTGCATGAAACCTTGCTTGATGACACCTTCAGGAACAGACTGGTGGAGTGGTTGAATTTCGTTTCTTCTGAACAGGATCTTTTGTAATAGGAAAGCAAGTGCTTGACTATACCACATGGAATTGTATTCTGATTAACTCGTAGAGTACCTGAAGCAGAAGACTCGATTCTGACGAGGGATCGGTGACTGGCAATCCGTTCCCATTATTATGAGATGGATATCAAATCCTGAACGACGCATCGTTCAGTCTACTTTGTAGTAAGCTGTTTTAACGATCGTGTCTAGCCAGAATGGCCGTATCCTTTAACGCCTGTAGCCCTAGTAAATGACAGAATGTGAAGAGTACAGGTAATGCCAAACTCAAACCCGAACCATCAAATTGCCTATGTAGTGACCTCGTTGATTTCCTTGGACGATGCTGTCCCCGGCCGTGGTATGTTGCCGAGCTCCTCCCCCACACCACTCTGTCCTCTTTTCCTCCCACCAATGTGGAATCTGGAAGTAGTAGGCGACTGAGCGGTGGAATCGGCGTTGCTGTCTCCGAACTTCGAGAAGAATCCCTTCTTCTTCGTCTGCTTGGCTTGTTCGTCATTCAATCCAACGTCTTCGAAACCTTCCTCCGCTGTTGGTGGTTGTCTTTCGAATCGACGCTCATTCATTGCTGACCTGGGGAGTCTGGGTAACCTAGCTGAATCAAGACTCTGTCGACCAATCTCGTGTCCGACTACTGGGGATCTCGCGGATATGTCCTGTTAAGTGGTCAGAATGCAGACCGGTTAAAACATGCCTAAAACTTACAAATGACCTCCTATATGAGTCAAACGACTCTCGCGAAATGGAAAAAGGCTCGATATCTTCGCTGTTGCGGGTATTCGTCGAGGTACCAGATGGATGCGATCGCTTTGGCCAGAACCCTTTCTTCTCTGGCGGGGATGGCTCACAGGATATCAGCAATCGTCCCAACAATCTACATCAGAGAACCCACAGGCAAATATACACCGCTGTCGTTGACAACTATTTCCCGAGAATCAATCAGCCACATTTCCACCATATTCGCTGCTGGCGATCCGGCCGGGGTGCTCGGCGCATACCAGACATTTTGTACTCGACAGGATCCTGACTTTGCCCGCTCTTTATACTCATGGCGGACGATGCCCTTGATCCAGTCGTATCGACTTTCTCGAAGGCAGGCCGAGTTCCATTTTGCGACAGCGGTCGAATGCCTTCTTCGTACGGCGCCAGGCCAGTCTGAACATCGGGCCGCTTCGCAAAGGGGTTTCTAATGGGCATTATGAGGATGTAGAGTGATGCGCCGGAGTTGATATCAATTGAATCAAATTCTGGAAAGTCTGTATGTATTGCTTGGATTAAATCCGGAAGAAATATACAAGAGAAACCGAGGATATTCGAGTACTGATCGAAAACAACATGCACTCACTCGTGACGTTATTTACAAACTTGCAAGGAGGGGGGATTAAGCGTCTTGCTCCTGGACCCCCGAGCCTGCTGACTGTGCTCAGCCAACCGGATGTTTGAATCCCGTCGGTTCTGTACGTACCAAGGTCAATTCCACTAAAATAATGCCTTTCCATTTGGAATAGATTCTTGACGCGATCAGCTTACTCGTACCATCCGGATCGACACGACCGCCTCGGTATATCCATCTTATAAAGTGATAAAAGTTCCAATTGCCAGTGAGAAGAAGGGTCCTGGGAACTGCATGTGGGGCAGTGGTACCATCCGGGACACTGGTGGGAGTGGCAGTAGCTCGAGTAGCATGTATGTATCGCTTGCACAAACCACCCCTGCTGTCCTGAGTCTTGACAGACGAGGAGCCTTAACAGACAAGTAAAAGATTCTTATCGGACTAAGCCGCCTGTTTGGTCTTAACATCTAGCTGCCATGTACGGTTTGGGAGTCTTTGCAGAGAAGAAAGCCTACCTGAACAGTTGGACGCCCAGGTGAACTGCATGCCTCATTTCACTGGAACAACAGCTGAGGGAACGGCAATGCAGATGGTCTAGGATAGCCAGCACCAACCTCGAGCTGAAGAGGTGTTTGAGGGTGAATGTCTTATATGTACCTTTGCAGCATTTCTAGGTCCTGTAGTCTCCGACATGGCAATATAAACAGTGGGTGACCAGCCATGTGGCTATAGCAGGCGTTGTTACCTATCGAGCCCTTTCCAATATCAACACGCCCAATAGTTGCGTAGCTTGATTTGATAGCCAACAGAGCCGAAATATGCTTTGTATGCAAGTTCCTCATTCAAGCCATTTCACTGAGCCGGGGCACTGATGCTCTGCCTTCAATTTTTTTCATGGCCATATTGGTACACCGTGCTGGAAAAAGAGTTGTCACAACGAGGTAAACTCCAAGAACTTGCCAAAAATAGCTCCAGGGCTTGGCGGGCTGGACCAATAGGAAATGGGAGCTGGGTTGTACTTATAATCCACCAACACACCGACGGCCTCAAGATTTCCTTTTTCATCATCCATCGCGGGTAAATCAACACCTTGCATGCAATCGGCCGTGCCTGGGTCCAGTTGATCTCCTTACCTGCTGTGATCTCCCGAAAGGATCAAATTCAGGTACGATGCCCCGGGTCCCAAGGCAAGCCTCCGCTGGGGCCTGCAAGAGACCCAGTAATGTACACCAGGAGATGCGATGTCGTTGTGATGAAGCGGCCTTTTCTTCGCAGCAGGCTTCATATCGGAAGTAGGTCCTCATTCTGGCGTGCTAGCCTTGCACTTCCATGCTATATTCTACTTCTAGAGGTTCCTGTACATTCTTCGGTGAATCCGTTTTCGGTCTTTCGTCGAGAATGTGATTCGAAGCACTAATCTTTGTCACACCATCATACAAGATCTCTCCATTCATAGATCCACTGTGGCCGATGATTAAAGGGCACAGCAGGGAGACTGAAGGTGATATTGTTGACAAGAGAACTTGCTGGTATCACAAGCTGCAGCTATCCGAGACCAGCCACGAGGGACAGCATCTGGAAGGCCCAAACTTTTAAATTGCCGGGTCATATACATCTTCCTCGCCGCCATCTCGCGGCCGACAGAGTCATTGATCGGGTGCACAGCAACGTACCGACTGTCTAGGTACAATGAAGCCCTACAACGCTCAACAGCTCACACCAAGTCTTGTGGGCATCAGCAACATCGGCCAAGTCAGAATAGGTGGCTGCTGCTAGTCGCAACTTCCGCATTTGTGCCTGCTCTTGCCAATTTGGGAAGCCTCATCAAATACTTGTAACTCGAAGTCTTTGCGTGCCATCTTCAACCCACGTTGCAGATACATCCAGAATTCACCTTAGCATCTGTCGTGTTTGTTTGGTAGTCAGGGCGCGCGAAGGACCACCTTTCGACGCATACTCATCCACATTGCTGCCTTATCATAGAAGATTTGGAAAACATGTTTTTCAAATCCTGGGAGCTGTGGGCGCAGATGACGTTCGTGAGTGGCATTCACACTAACGTGAGGACATCTTTCTAACCAACGACCAGGTCCTAGCCATAGCTATCGTCGTAGTCATTACCATAGGATACACGAAGCTGATGTGGCGGAATAGACTTGTACAGAGGCAAGAATTGGTCGATGAGGAGAAGCGGACACGCATCCAACAGTTAAGAAACAGTGGGCAAATCGTTGAGTCAAGGAAGAGCTACGATATACCCTTCGGAGTGAGAGCAATTCAGAGCGGGATACAGGTCGATGGAATATGGATCTCCCAGACTGCGACTCCAAGTCCAAATCAGCTCAAGGTTAGCCATATTTACAGTGGCTCGTCAGAAAACTTCCCAGGTACAGAATCTAGCAAGGAGGCTGATGTTTCCGAAGAGTCAAATCTCGAAGCTCTGCGGTCATCGTCAAGGGAAGGAAGATCCTCTACTAGGAATAGCAATTCAAGTGGCATGTTCCCAACCCAGGATGCTATCCGCGAGGCAGAATCGTGGGCAGTATACAAGCCAAGAACAGCATCCCACCTTCGACACGGTAGTTGTGGAGTGTATGACGAAGAAACCCTTGGTCAATTAGAGGGGAAAGCATCGACAAAGCAGAAAGTTCAGGCTCATCGTCCTGGTGGTTCTCGTAACATCGATGTGGAAGGCGAATCATCGTTTGCTGCAGACAACGAACGTTCCTCTGATGCTTCATTCAGATCTGACACTTCTCTCTCACACAAAGCACATCTGCATAGCAACGCATCCCGACAAAAGCTCTTGAGTGATATGCCAAGCGCCGATATAGCTTCCCTAAATTTGTTCAATGTTACATCTGCGAAACCAATAAACATAGTCAAACCACCTCCGACTTTCGCAGCCGAATACTTCTCGATCCCAATCGAATCACCTAATGAAGAGGGATCAGATCCATTTGCGACTCCGTTCATGAGCCCTCTGGGTTCACCCGAAATGAAACCACAGCACTCACCAGCTTCAGCACATCCAAACTGGCTCGATGGCCAGCAGCACTCAACTCCAACAACGCGCTCACCATCGCCCTTTCTTACAGGAGAACTCCATGTCAATAAGTCTGTTCGCAAGGTCAATTCGGGCTTTGAAGTCTTACCAGCTGGAACATTCGGGGTTCCTGCTGGATCCAGTCAAGCAAAAGGCACAGGATACGACAATAATGATGATGCGGGTGACAGAAGACATCCCATAAAACTACAAAAAAAGCCTCGTTCGTCAATTGGAGGCAGAACATCAAGCACTATGGAGAGTCCCTGACCCTTAGTAATAGCAGTTGTTTCAGATGAGAGCTCGTGATATAGTCCAGCCTTGAGGATATATGGTGGACAGAGAGAAACTGTTTGCGCTTCGCAGCACGATCCTTGCAGATATAATTTGGAGACATTCGAGTCAGGGGCTGGTCACAAACCTGTGTCAATAGCTTAGTTGTTGAAGAAAACAATGAATGCTAGAGATGACAGACCTAATATATCAAAGTAAGAATATACCGGCGTCGAGTTGTGGGTGTGATTCTGCGAAGGCCGCACTGCCTAGAAAGAGCAATCATCTTCGATGCCTTTGATAGGAGATGGATCTGCGATCATCTTCTCACAAATCTTTTCAATGGGCTGGCTCCACAGCAGTGTGGAACCTACAGCGCCCAAGAGCCTAGAGGAACAAAGTCGGTCTTTTGTCTTGAGACCTATATGTCAAATATGCGTGTAGTTTTCATACGTTTGATATGTGTATTTTACTGAAACATAAGGAATCATTCCTATTTGCTCCCTAGATTCCTCTAAATATTTCTCACAGCATCTGTGGTTCTGCTTCGTTGCGTTCCAAGGTTGGGAAGTCGAAGCGAATGATATTGGCACGTGATTTGGCGTTCCAAAATTTCAAGGTAGACGCCAAAGACAACAACGCGGGTGGCGCGTCTTGTTCTACTTCAAAGTCTTGTCATCGTTTCGGGCATCCAACTTCCATAACACCGCCATCCTTCAACGGCATTTCATGACGCGTGGAATCGACAGGGGCCCTCATAATCTAGAACCAAAGTTTCGGCGATATACTTTACCAGATTTCACAATTACCTTGGTAGATTCCCCTTCCTGCCCCGCTTCCTAAGACACGCCGACTGCTTCCTCATCCTTCTCGCGCGAACGCCACGGGGCTTCGAGGCTTCAAAATATTCAAAATGGCTAGTGAAGAGATAGAACAGTCGCAATCGGGCGTTGAGGAAATGGGTGTTGGTGGACCTGGTGCGCCGACACCATTATCAGCTCTAGAAGTATGTACAAGCGGTTCAATCAAGATAGTCAGGTCTAACCATGCTCTAGGGTGTTGCCGGACTTACAAAGAGAGACATACAATTAATTGTTGAAGGTGGATACAATACCGTTGAGTCTGTTGCATATACACCACGACGCATACTCGAACAGATCAAGGGTATTTCTGAGCAGAAGGCGACTAAGATCTTGACCGAAGGCAGGTCATTCGTGTATGATAACATGTACCAGTACTGTGGCTAACATCTTGTAGCATCAAAGCTTGTTCCTATGGGCTTTACGACTGCTACTGAAATGCATCAGCGAAGAAGCGAGTTGATATCTATCACCACTGGGTCTAAGCAGTTAGACACCTTATTGGCTGGGGGAATCGAAACCGGTTCAGTGACCGAGATCTTTGGAGAATTCCGTACAGGGAAAAGTCAAATTTGCCATACTTTAGCAGTCACTTGCCAGCTTCCTTTCGATATGGGAGGAGGTGAAGGGAAATGCCTCTACATCGATACTGAAGGAACATTCCGACCTGTTCGTCTTCTTGCTGTCGCCAATCGCTATGGTCTTTCAGGAGAAGAAGTCCTTGACAATGTTGCTTATGCTCGTGCATACAACTCCGATCATCAGCTTCAGTTACTGAACCAAGCCTCAGCCATGATGTGCGAGACACGTTTCTCACTCCTCATTGTTGACAGTGCTACTTCTCTCTATAGAACGGATTTCGTGGGGCGTGGTGAATTATCGTCCAGACAGACCCACCTAGCCAAGTTTATGAGAACTCTCCAGCGCCTTGCTGACGAATTCGGCATCGCCGTGGTCATCACAAATCAAGTCGTTGCTCAGGTGGATGGTGGCCCAAGTGCAATGTTCAATCCCGACCCGAAGAAACCAATCGGAGGAAATATCATCGCCCATGCCAGTACTACCAGATTGAGTCTCAAGAAGGGCAGAGGAGAGACTAGAATCTGCAAGATCTATGACAGCCCATGTCTTCCAGAAAGTGATTGTTTGTTTGCCATCAACGAGGATGGTATCGGTGACCCGAGCCCAAAGGATTTGGAGAAGGATCACTGAAAGCTGACGAGTAGGAGGGTATCTTTTTATGCGGCCAGGGGATTGGTCGTCGTCACACAGCATTTCAACTATGTATGGATTTACATGGAGTGGGGAATTGGTGCATTGGGCTGGGCTATCATTTCGGATTGCATTAGAGATCGGTGATGACTTTCATCTGTATAGCTGAAGATTAGATAAATTAATCTGATCAACTGTGTCTTAACGATACGGACTAAATGTGTCGTATGACAATGAGTTGACTATGTTTTTTGTTGATACTGAGTAGTATCCTGACAAGGGTTGGAGCTTCCAAGCGAGCACCAGTCAAAAAAGCTTCGCGACCAAACCGCGTCTCGCAGCCTCAACATCGAGAAATGCGCCACGCCATTTTCCGAACACCACCACTTGCCTGCGATCAGATTGATGGAGACAAGATGGAGACTTCAACCACTACTTATGCGTACAAAGAGACTCGATTAGATTTAGGCTCCACAACACAAGGTTGTACGGTCGCAATCCGTTTGCCAGCACACGGCGCATCAGCATATCCATCGAGATCAGCTCAAAAACGACCACACGTCGCCGAGATCCCCATCGCGGAGGACGAGAATGCCTTTAGAGCAAGATACTTGGCTTCCGCAGCTTCGATCTACTACCGTACTCACTATCAGTCGCCGAGAAGTTTCCTCTGGAGGATTCTAGAAGATGGAAGAGTGCTGTCTATCCAATCCGTGGATATTTCGAAGCCCAGCACAGTCGCAGAGGCCAATATTACTCTGCGACTGACTCTCCCAAGTGTTATTAAGTCTGGATGTATTGCTCTTGCGGATTCCAAGGAGCATGATATTCTGAGCATATTCATTTTAACGGAATCGAAACAGCTCTACACACTCACCCTACGCCCAGATCACTTCCGCAGAGCCGCAAGCACAGAGGATAACGTGGGAGACTGGTGCAAGACATATTCATCTGCTGCGTTCAGTCTCAAGGCGCCCCATAGGCTGGTTGCTCTGAGCGCGGATGAGTTATTGATATCTACCATTGATGGAGCTCTTCTGAGACTGGAGAGGAATTCGGGAGGAGATGGTAGGGCGATTATTCCTTCTAGATGTTGTTGATGCTAAGAATATATAGGATCTGTCTGGAAGGAAGTGCACTATAACGAAGGTGGATGGGGTCTGCATGTTCGGTCTATGAGATTGTTTAATGCTTCGTCTACCATTGCATACGGCGGCCAACACCTAGAACACGCTACCGCGACATCAATAGCATCACCAGGAACATCTATACATGGACAGCAATATGCCTTCACAATCTGTTTGGATCACCGGCTGCGGGTATGGAACCTATCAACTGGCAAGTTGGCCTACACAAAGGATATGCTTGGCCAGGATCTGGAACAACTAGATCAAGCAAAGCAGGCAAAAAAAGTGATCGACCCATCTCAGTCACAGTTGATCAAAGTCTATGGCGGTGGCAATAGTGCACTATGTGTTACGTATTCTCCTCTTGGAAGCGGCCAATTCAAGCTCTGGAGCGTCACTCCGAAACATGACGGCAGTCTCAACTTGGACGATATCTTCGAGGGCCATGTATTTGAACCACAAGCTCCGTCATCTGAGATCTGGACAATGGCAGACTTCTCCGTCCTTCACAAATCGACCAACCCCAGTGACTATTCTATCTGGGTGCTATGGAAAAATAATGTCACCTATCGTCTCCAACGCTTAAATTTTCAAAAAGGCAGTGACTACAAGTCTGTACAAGATGCATGGGAGGTTGGCTGGGAGGCCATGGCATGGGAAAGCCTTCGCGACGAAATGGGACCCGCTGTCTTCTCCGGAGATGCCTCTGATGGAACGGATAAATGGCTCGAATATATTCTTTCTCCTGGACGATATACTCCGGCCACTATCGAGACATGCCTTGCTATTTATGCACGGGGGCTAAGCACGAAAGGTGTTGCACGCAGATCAGGATCACTGCCGGACAGGTTGTGTGCCACCATAGCATCAACGGCCTCATTGAGCCGAAAATCGGATGGCGAGCTAGACTATTCCTCCTTCCGATCTGCAACCGATGCTCAATGGCGTCGATTCTCCAGGCTCCTTGCGGAGCTTGATAAGCAACGAGGTGAAGCTATGTCATTATCAGTCGACCCTACCGGACAAATGCCATGGGTGGTTTTAGCAGATGGCATTACTGCAATAAGGGATTGCAGTCCTCTGGAGAAGATGTGGCATAACAATGGAAGAGTTGAAGAAGCGGATAAGCATGTGGCCCTTCCTCTATTCGCTGCCTCCACCTTTAGAGACTCGTTACCTGAACCGTTCTTGCATGCCTGCAGCAACCAGTTACTCGAAGAAATCTTCCAGGAACCGTCTCTTATTGGTACTGCGAGAATGCGAAGTTTCTATGAGAAGTGCGATTTTTCCAACCAAATTGGAGATGATGAGTTCTCTCAGCTCGTGAGTGGGCTAGGGGGTGATTTTAAGAATGTCACTCCTCAGATCTATGAAGCTATTCTCGGATTCATGAATGTCTCTGGAAATAGTGACAGGCCGCTTGTCCAACAACTAGCAGAGTTCGGCAACAAATTACTTGTGAGAGGAGTACAAGAAACTGTGGTACTACATCGAAATATATGCCTCGACCAGCTTGTTCTTTTGGTGCTCATAGAGAACGAGATCAATACCACCGAGGAAGGGATCCAGTTCGAGACTGCTGCAGTATTTGAAGCTCTCATCAAGCTGTTGAAAAAACTCGAGCTCCTGCTTTGGCTGTGTAGCACTCAGCTTACTCTCAAGCCGCCGAGATCTGAGAGATCGAATTCTGTAACGGATAAGACCTCGAGCTCCAGCAAGAAAAACCCGGAGAGCCTGGGAACGACGACAGTTTTCGAGGGTGTATATCGACACTTATTTGGTTTAGACTTGCGGAAGGGCGAAACTCTGTCTTCTCTTGTGACACAATCGATTTTGGAAGTTTGTGCTCCTGACAGCACTGTATACGAGACCTCAGCTTCTCTTATTCAATGTTTCTTGTTAATTCAGGAAAGACCCGACTTGGCAAATGAATTCTCAAGATTCGCGGAACATGATGCGTTTGCAACATACATCCAAGGAAGAGCGCTCCTTGCTGCCAATGACATATTAAATGCATCGACGCTTTTCAAGAAGGCTGCGTTTGGAATGGGTAATACCTACTCGAATCACCTGTTGAAGATCAATTACTGACTGCGAAACAGCGTATCCGGACCAAACAAAACGTATAGGCTACAGAACTGCGAGTTATCTGGATGCCACTGAGAAGAAGCTATTGAATGCCGGACTTCCTGCATACTATTCCCACATTGTGGCACTTTTCGACAAGGGGAAGAACTACTCTTTTGTCATAGACTTTGCCGGACTTTCCCTACAATTCATCAGAGCTGACAGTGACGATTCCTATATAAGAACCGAGATGCACAGTCGTCTCTTCAACGCTGCCATCCAAACAGCCCGTTATGAGTTGGCCCACTCAACCCTTACTCTCTTCACCGACACCGCGCTTCAACAATCCTCTCTCCGAACCCTCATTACCAAGATGTGCGAAACAACCTACGCATCTCAGCTTGTCGAACTCCCCTTCATTGGCCTCCAAGAAACCGTTGACGAAATCCTCGCCCAGAAATGTCAAAGCATAGTCGACGTCAATGCCGGAATTCCCTATCACAAAATTCTCTATGCCTGGCGCATCAAGCACAACGACTTCCGTGGCGCGGCAGCCATCTCGCTCGAGCGTCTGCAGCGACTTCAGCAGTCTGGAGTTGGCGACAAATTACTTGGTGATGATGGTCTAGAAACCGCTGTCACGAGGCAATACGTGATGCTTATCAATGCGCTCAGCTGTGTTGGTGAGAAGCAAGCATGGATCCTATCCGAAGAGCCACCGCAGAAATCAACCACTGCTACTGTAGGCAGCAAAGTAGCGCCGCCGAAGAGAAAGGTTGTGACGTTGGCGGATGTCAGGAAGGCGTATCAAGCGGAGTTGGATCGTATTGCGGCCATTGAGAATAATCAATTTGCTTTTGGGGTGGATGCCGATGAAATGGATGTTTTGTAATCAATGCTGGGAGTGAAGTCGTTAAGGAAAGGATTCAAGGGAGCACACCTTATGATGTGGACAAACAGCGGGGGGCGTACTTTGGAGTCTGGTGCCAGCACTGGTTTGTGTTTAATAGACAAGAGATACCTTGAGGTTCGCATCTGCGTATTGAATTCGAAGTGGATGAGATGAGAACTTTCACCGTTTTGAAGCTATGAGGTGGTGTGTGACAATATTGATGTTCTTCAAACCATGGAACGAGTCTCATTCATGGCGTCCAAACCGCCCAGGATGCCTTGAATCTATGTTACAATTGATATATGCCGATCCCTTCCATTACTCCGCTCTTAACCCCCGAATCTCTGACTACGCCTGTGGAATTTGTGCTCTTTCTGGTGGTGGAGCGCCTGCGATCTGGGTTTGCTGGCCGGCCCCAGCGGCGATTTCTGGTGCTTGACGGTAAAGGACGATTTCGGATTGTTTGAAGTAACGTCGTGCATCTGCTGCTGTTAGTGATCGCTGATCATGTGAGGATAAAATGAGTCTGGAGTAAGGAGGCTTCGAGTCGTGAGGATAGAAGGGAGTGTTGCATACCTTCGTCAATAAGAACTAGACTTAGGTAGTATCTGGTGGAGTACTTCTTGTTGACTTCTCGGAAGGTCGGGGTCAAGTCGAAACCGCCTAGGAATAGTCGAATAGGGATCGTTTCTCCTCTGGATGGAGAGCCGTCCATGATCTTCACAAGTCAATAAACTTATCGTAGATTCGACCCAATAGTTTCCATTTGACATACCTCAAACCTCACCAAAGTCTCACTCTCATTGTACTGATTAGGCGCCGCACCCGTCGTCTCCCTCCTGATAATTGACAATTCCATATGCTTGATCTTCAGTCTAACCAGCAAAAAGTAGATTCTGCCGACAATAACATCCTTCAGATGGTACTTTGATTTCGAGTACTCAAACTCGATGTGCAGACAGTCCTCAATTCCGACGTCCATCTTGATCGAGCTGTTCATCTCGGGAGGTATCCGGTACGAGTATACCCAAATATCTTTCTCCCGGATTACATCCGCCATACGCCGCGACACTGTCACTCGTACAAAGTACCGGAGGCGCACATTGATGCCACTGTATGACTCGTACTGCTTTTCGACGTTCTTGAAGTTGAAATCGAATGCTTGGGGATGCTGCAGGTCTCCTGGAGCGGCCAATTCCTGGCCCAGAGATAGGAACTCGTAGTGGTTGCCTCGGTCGAAGAACATCTCTGTGGTAAGATTATATTAGCCATTTACTTTAACATATAATGAATCACCCAAAGAGCAAGGCCGGAGCATGATTCAAAGCTCCCCCTCCTCCTTGAGACTGGTGGAACCAACCAATTGTGCCAATGAATTGCACCTTGATGCCCGTATGCTCTAACCTCTTCCCATCCTTCGGTCTGACTGTCACCGCGCCCCTGACAGACTCTCCATCCTTATACAACGGCGCTTTCTCCCTCCTTCCCTTCTCCGTCTTCATATCGACCATCTGCCTGTCATCTCCATCCTCAAGGACAATATCGATATCCACCGGCGTCGAGAAGAAGTACGACATATTGTGCGCTGAACTGCCGACTAATTGCGTCCTCCTATGCCGTTGCGTGGGGTGTATTGAGAGACGCGCAAGCTCAGTATGGTCGTTGCGTCCAGTCGTTGAATAGATGGCGGAGCTGGCTGGGCTGGCTGCGCGGCGGGAGCTGTCGTCTTGAAGCGAGACTCTCCAAAGCGCAAGGCTTCAGCCTCTCTTCAAGCACGGACTTTTTGCACCACTGAATTTCTGGAGCGTCAACTTCACTGTTTACTTACGACATTACGCCCCGCATCAGCACAAATACAAGTCTACACAGCTACACGTCTACTAAAGCTGTACTAAGACGTCTTCTCTTCGCGCCGCCCAGCCGGCAGCGACTACGACTCGGCCTCCATCATGTCGCTCCAGGGCTATGTAAACAGTAAGTTGCCGGACCCCTCCCCCTCGCGTTCTTGCCCCTCACTTTGCTTGGTTACTCTCTGTGGTCTGCTATACCTTTGTTGTAATTTGTTGAGCTTACAGCCGGATTTCTGACAGCTGGGTAGAGAAGGTGTTGGTCTTGACTAGCGATTCGAGGACACTTGTAGGCACACTGCTGTCCTGCGACCAGATGACAAACTTGGTACGTCTGCTCTACGCCGTTCACGATTCACTTCAATCGTGCGCCCGTGCCATTCACGAGACAAATTTTGACAATAAATAGGTCCTCTCACAAACAATCGAACGTATCATCCGTCCGCCAGATGATCCAGAGCCATCGAGCGAGGTCCCACACGGATTGTACCTGATTCGAGGAGATAACGTTGCGGTTGTGGGGTTGGTGAATGAGGAGCTGGATGACAGTATCGATTGGCTGCAAGTTAGGGGCGCAGTGGTCGGTGGTGTGAAGCATTCGTGATCAATGGGATGAGTACTGAATGATTACTGAAGCTTGTCGCGGCAGGAATGGTGAAGAATGGATTCTGTGGGAGAGATCTCGCGAATTGCTTGAGCAGGAGTGAGATAGGCAGAAAAGGAATCTCACGATCATGTAGAGAAGGGATGAAGGCTGGAGGGCTGGGTGGATCACTGGGTAAAGAAATGATTGTTGCATTATTGGCGTTTACGGCGGAAATGGATACATTCTGAAGCAATCGAAAAGGTCATGAGAAATATCACATATTTCTGTACAAGTTGCAGTTGTGAAATGGGTTGCCATGCTTAGACCTCCATTTAACCATGACAATTTGGGTTAGAAAAATTCGCTGATACTATCCTGTGATATTTGGGGTATTATCGCGAAGCCTATGATCCAGTGATTGGATAACCTACCGCCTATTATTGTAGATTGTGTCTAATCTGTCTTTAGTTTCTTTCTTTTCTCCCTGTTTCTCCCCCTTTTGACTTCGGAATGGTAAACATTGTTGATTTAGCCAAAGATCGACTTTCAAATCAGTCACACGAAAACAATTTTTCTGGGGATTGTATCTGTGGACATCATTTGACTGTGTTGTCTGAGTGATATCTACGCTTCATGTATGCTGATTGTTCCATCAAGCTTACTAGCCAGGTAGTTACATGAATATAATGAATGAGCAACCCATTTAACCGAAGATACGCTCAAACAGATATGGACCAAAGGCGTCTTCTCCTGGAGAAGACACAATCCTATTGATCCTGTTCCCCTTGTTGACGTGTAGCCAGCTATGGCTGTCGCCTGGAGCATCCTCTTCTACATCTGCCTCGGGGTGGGCAACGGTTAGTTGCTCCATGGGGTTGATGATATCAACCGCACCGGGGCTCATGATCTGCTGCTCTGGAGCACCGGCTTTCTTTCTGTTCCGACGATCGATTACATGCATGCCTCGGGTCCACTGTCCAGACACTTCCACTCGGATGTCCTCTGGGGCCTTTGGTGCCGACATCCAAGATGGTGCTGAGCGGGTGAGCATGTACCAAATACACAACGGGTCGTGTAGCTCGAGACCAGGATCAGCTTGCTTTCTAGTAAGAGACTCGATCTTCTCGAGCGTCTTAAGTACGAAAGCAGATGTCCACTCGGCCAGGGGACTACCGGCTTGGATCAAGGGCTGTAGCTTGTTGATGACAAGCGAGCGGCGGAGCGCATGAGGTGTCGTGACATCAAGCGGGAACAACGTCAGCTTCAGAAGTTTTGACAGCTTGCTAGGATACGGAGGTAGTGGTTCCATGTCCTTTGGCGCAGGAGGCATCGTCGAAGCAGGGGTTGGCGATGTCAGCGCAAAGACACGAGCAGTGGCCACAGCATCGGCGTAAGTATTGAACTCGGCTACAGGAGTGATGTTACCCGAAACATCAATAGCTCCTCCCATCACGACTACCTCCTTGACCCTCAAGAAAGTTTCAGTGTCCTCAGCAGCGGCCAGCGCTAGGTTGGTGAGTGGCCCGACAGCGACGATGGTGATGGTATCCGCTGGGTTTTCCTTGAGAAGTCGCAGGATCTCCTTGTGAGCCGGAAGTTGAGATGCCCGGAATGAAGACGATGGTGATGCGAGCTCCGCTGCTGCTGCTGTCTCTTCAGCTGTGGCGCCAGCTTTGGGAGGTTCAAACAAAGTCTTCCATGTATCGGCTGGCGAAAGATGGGGGTGCTAATAAGGTCAACACATAATTTTGTGCATCAGAAATGATCAAATACCGATGTTGATACTCCAGCCAGTCCGTCAACCCCATCTGGTTTCGGTCAGTAATCTTTCCATTACAATCTGTCAGTCGAAAATGGGGCAACGTGAAAATGTATGCGAATCCGAAACCAGTGATGTAGGAGATTTATTGTCCATGAGAAAAATCGACAATGAGATATGGAGACCAGAAAACATACGGAAATAATCAGCCATCAAGATGGTCTCCTCAAGTGGATGCTCAGGTCCGATTGCCACAATGGGCTTGGAACTTGACATGGCTTCAAATCCTTCCAGTTGGCCTCGAGCTCTTCGCCATTCCTTCTCCTTCTCGATCACATGGAATAGAGCAACGACATTGCGTAAGCAACTATACCATGTCAGTCGAAGTGCTATAATCCAACGTGGCACGAGTTACCTCTGAACTTCCACATTTCCATAAGTCACAGAAAGCAAGAGAATCTCAAGCTCTTCTGGCTTTGCTGCCAGTGCCAAGAGAATGGCCAAAATATCATCGACTCCTGAAGATGCTTTAGCAAATGGTATCAAATATTCAAAGAATCAATAAGGACATACCAGGGTCAGTATCAATGATGATACGGTTAAGCGGCGCCATTTCGTTTAGAGAGTTAGGCTTTTGTGGCTTTGATGGTTTGGAGGGGTTAAGTAGAAGTGTCGAGAAGAGGGGAAGTGGGGGTTAGATGTGCTCAATGCTGCTTGGCTGAAGCAGAGTTCATCTGATGTAGGAGGGGGAAAACGAAAATGAAAATGAAGTGGAAAGGTTTGGTTTTGGTTTTGGTTTGGCTTGGTCTGTCTGGTCTGTCTGGTCTGGTTTGGTCTGGTCTGGTCAGGATGGAAGTTGAGCAGCAGCTGAAGGTCCTCTTGGCCTCGTCTTGTGCCTGGCCCAATGCCTTTCATCCACCTCCCACCCAAGCTACCCGACCGTAGCAGGGCCGGAGGGCGGCGGGTTGCCTGCAGGAGCAAAGCAAAGGACGAGTACCTAGGTACCTACAGCCTACCTAGGTAGGTAAGGTAGGGTAGGTACCGCACTGCCTGCGCTACAGTACCTCCCCCTCCACCTAACCTAAGGTATAGGTGCCATTACGGAATTCCGGTACTACTGTAAGCCAGTGGGCAAACAATATAAGGAAGCCGAAGTGTTCCCCCCAAAATGCCAATGCCAATTCCAATCCATTGGTGGCGGCTTGAGATTCACGTCCAAGTATCACGTGAGCTCCACGCCCGAATGGCACTGCACTGCACTGCAATCCAGCTCCGCAGCTGCACCACGAGGCAACTGCTCCCTCTCTGTGATACTACCTCCACTTCCACCGCCCTGTATAGCAGCACCAATTTCCACAGTTGCAGCTCATTCCACAGTCTCAATCACTCGTAACGCCTCGTCTCTGTTTCTCCCTTTCGCTCTCCCGCTCTCCCATCCCGTCTGGGCTGCCGTATTGGGATCCCTGCCTGCGTCACAGTCCCGGGCCAATCACCGCACTGACGACGCCGCTGCTGCTGCATCCCCTTGACAGACAACCTGTCCTGTCCTGAACGACCATTGCTGCCCCGACCTGACCAGACCAGACAAGCTGCGAGAAACCATATCGACACGTCTCGACTTTGGTTCGAGATCTGGTCTGTACGCTACGATTCAACTCAGCCGACGTCTTCTTCCTCCTTGCTTGAACAATATTTAGTCTTCCCAACAACAACAACAACAACAACAACGGCCGACAACTCCCCGACTCCCACTTCCGCTTCTACATCCCTTTCCAGCCCATTCCCTTCCCAATTGAGCACTCAAACATCCGATCCTCATTGATCCAACCTTGCACGTTGACCTCGTTCCTCCATATCCTTGACGAACTATCGTCTTACCTTCGAATTCCTGTGGCATCATGCCTACCACCACAACAATTGCAGGATGGGCTGCCATCCTCGCTGTCGGAGGAGCATACTACTGGGTTAATGGCCAGCGAAAGCAAAAAAACCTACGCTCTGCCAACACTAAGCAGTCAAGCAAAGCCACTGAGCCACGAAAGGACACAAAGGCGAAGAAGTCGAAAAAGGATGGTGGTCTAAGTAGTGGCGACCAAGATGTAAAGCAGGACAAGAAGAAGAAGGCCAAACAACCTGCAAAGCCAGCTGTTGAGGAACCTATTGTAGCCAGCTCACTTTCGAAGACTGTCGACCGGGATGAGAAGAGGGATGACTTGGAGTTTGCCCGCCAACTTTCGAATGCAAAGAAAGGTGTTGTTGACACGCCAAAGTCGCAAACAGCCTCTCGCCAGAAGTCCGTCAAACAGACCCGGGCCCAGGAGAAACCAGTCGTCGATGTCTCTGAGGATGGCACCGCACCATCTTCTACCACAGGAGGCGATGCTGATGATGATCAATCACCCATCAATTCCCCTGAGCTTGCTGCCACTACTGCCACCAATGGTGATGTTTCGGACATGCTAGAGAAGCCATCCGCTGGTCCCTCGGTTTTGAGAGTCACTGCACCCACCAACCCTGCGCCAGCAAAGAAGGCGAAGCAGCAAAACTTCGAGGTACAAGAGACCAAGAAGCAAAAGCAGAATCGAAAGAAGGCTGAGGAGGCAAAGGCGATCCGAGAGGCCGAGGAGAAGGAGCGTAAGGTGAAGCTAGAAGCCCACCGACGGAGTGTCAGGGAGGCGGAGGGCCGAGCTGCAAAGGATGGTTCGGTTTTCATGGCTTCTCAGGCTCCACCAACATCGAAGTGGACTGCAGCCCCTGCTGTTCAAGCCACAAATGACAGTGCTACGCCAGCCAGCAAGAAATTGGAGCTGCTCGACACCTACGAACCATCCAGCGGACATGTTGACACGAAGCCCGTGGAGCAAATTAAGTCTGAGAGCAAACTTGCAGAAGAGCTTGCCAACATCCCCGAGGATGAGCAGTTGAGGATTGCTAAGGAGGAGTCGAACAACTGGGAAGAGGTTAAGTCGAGCTACAACCGTAAGAAGAAGACTCGCAAGGAGGCCTCGGACGAGAACAAGGAGTCCAAGGAGGATAAGACCAGTAGTTCCAATGACGACTCGAACGACTTTGGTGTTCCTCCTGTCATTGCTCCTACCGGACCAGGAAAGAAATGGCAAATGACCACTGTCCATGTCGAGCCAAACGGAAAGGTTGTTGAGCGTGAGCAGGAGGTTCAAGATTCAGAATGGGAAGTCGCGTAATTTGAGCCCTGCAGGTTATCCAGGGCATGATAGATGATGAGCTCGTTCTGAGGTCGGGGTGTGACTGTTGGACGACAACCAAGCACTCATGTTTCTAGTTGTCAACACACTTTCTCGACCTTACGTTGACAAGTTCCTGGCAGTATTTTATGGTGTTCGGTCTTGAGCTCTTCCCGCAAATCATCATTTTCCTTCTCTTGTACATTTGGCGCCGTTTACACCGACTGAGCATTGCCGAGTTGAAGGCATGCTTCTTGCATACTGGCATTTGGGATTGATGGGTTTGCATAAGCCAGCTGCACTGTATTTCACTTGCTTTGTTATTTATTAATTGGTGGCAAGGCGTTTGTGGCCCGCTCTTCTTTCACTTTAGGACATTTCGAAGGGTTCCCCAAAATTGCTGCGATCTGCTAGGCTTGTCCTTTTCGGAGACCATATGTCCCCCAAAAATTTGTACATCTGGCCGCTACTGCTCATCATCATGCTGAGTCTGCATCAAGAAACGATTCAATAAACATATGTGCCATCGATATTGTGACTTCAGACGTTGTTCTACCTTGTTGATTGATATCCCTACGTGTCTTTCCCTAACAAGGACCCTGATATACCAAGCAATTCCCCTCCCACTCACTCCCCCGCCCTAACAAAACTCTCGCTCCGCAGGATGCATCCACATGGTTAGCTCGATACCTACAGTACTTGGTCCTGGTACGACTACGGCGCTCATACCCTGATCAGCGTGGAAGCCTCTCCCATGGATGCAACAATCTGTTGTTGTGCCCAGCTGCCTCGATCAAAAAGTTTAGATGAGTAGGACAGAGCCCTTCTTCACTCATCTAAGGTATCCTTCCCCCACGCCCGCATAGACCGGCCTGATGGGGCCAATGGAACATGGATGCACCCCAAACCCGGATAGGCAGCTCCAGGTCTTGTTGCAGGGTTGCCACACATCCAGTGCCTTATCCAGTCTCAACTTCGCGATCCTAACATTTGACGGAGATGCCAATTGAACAAGATAAACAACATTCCATATGGATTTCCTTCCATAGCGGATCACTGATCACCTTGGGTACTAACCTGCGGTGGACCCAATTGTTTGGATCCGTGTCCCCCTAGTGCGCTGACAGATACGGGTAGTGGAAACTTGTCATCCTGCCCTGCGCTTCAGTGGAGTCCAGGGAGGGAACGACATACCTCAGGTACTCATTCATTTCACAGGAGCCGGCTCCTTCAGCTCATAAGAACAACTCAATTCGAGGCTCCCTCGACAAATTCAAGTATCCATACATTCTACGCCATCTCTATCCAGTTTCTCCAGCCTATTGTTTGTTCTCTACACTCCAGCTTCTGTTCCCCGTGGGGAATTTGCTTCAGGCCGGCCATCAATTACCTGAAGCACCCCGACAAACAGACAAAGCCAACTGTTTACCAGCTCGACTCGCCACATGACTACGAGCTCTTGAGACAATACTTTCCGCTGTTATGGTATCCGCAATACCATATTGCTTCTCGACGACCAACTCATCATAGCTCCACTGCTCCAGGCCAGCGAATCCGACGTGGGGCAGTAGTTGGGTCCTGGTTGTGAACATATCCTCGAGTCCTTGTCCACCAAACTTCCACTTTTCCAAGCACTCGGATCGACAATTGTTCACTTGGCTTGTTGGGACTTGAGCACAGGCAAACTCCGAGCATCTTCCTGGTCGAAGATCCTGATCGCGTCTCGAAACACCCGCAACCACATTTAAACCAGTCCACGTCACAAACCCCCGAAATAGACCCTGATGCATTCATAATCTCGACTCATTTCCTCGAGCACACGACACACGCTTTGCAGGTCTACATCCTCCTCCCGACCAATATGTCGCTCGATGTCGCTATACAATCAGTAGCATTCTATATCCTCTCCTGCAGCACTTGTGCCAAGATTAGCCATCGGCGGAAAGCGAAGATACAAGCAAAGCGGGAGCGAGCTGAGAAGCATGCATTGGAAACGGAGCAACCTGGGCTGTACAGGCACCCTTCGCCCTTCTCCACGAATCCATACTGGACCGAGGAGATCATGATGGGACCAGGTCCACCGCCGAAGAAGGGTGGGAGCAAGAATGCAAGTCAACGAGCTCTCAATACCGCAGGGCAAGGGAGCAGTTATGCTGGTAGCACTGCAATGAGTTCGGAAACTCCTAGTAGTCCAACAGCCGTTACGGAAGGCTCCCGGATCTCTGGAGAGGGCTGGAACAGGAAACGATACCAGCGGGAGGATGAAGCGCTGTGGGGCCATGATATTCCAGGGCCCGGCCAGAGGATTATGGATGCCATTGCCAAAGCAGGATCATCAGCTGGTCGATTATTGGAAGGACGTTTGAGCAAGAGCGGAAGCGGTCCTTTGCGAGAAGAGGAGAGTCCAACTCCATATTATTTAGCGAGGAATCCGCCAGTCAACGACCTACATCCTCCTGTAGTCAGTACAGCACCTGCCAGTAGAGACGAAACGAGGTGGATGCTCCAGCCTCCACCACCAGCGAAAGTTATGGAAGGAAAGGAGAGGGTTAACAGAAATCGTGCGGGCAGCAACGGTAGTAGTCGGAGAGGAAATGATGGAACTCCACTTAGTCGCCAGGTGACAGAAAGATTGGTAGATGCGAAACTACAACGTGGTGAAACACCATATGAGGAAGTACGGGCGAGGACCGAGGCAAAATCAAAGCCACAGCCTCCTACGGCGCAACTGCCCAGAAGGACGAGGAGTGGCTCTATCGAATCATCCGATTCGTCAGACACGGTGTTGAGAAGGAAGCAAAGGCCTCCCCCAATTTCAGTATCCTCTTCAAAGAGAAGCTCTAGGGATATTGTCGAACACATTCCTATTCCTGCAAGCCCACATACTGGGTCAAACATTGAGTTGGACGAGAAGTCCCGGCCTGCTCTAACGACAATACTAAGCTCGTCCAACAACGTCCCCCAAGTAAAACAGCAGGACGATGTTCTTCCTTTCCGGGAACTCTCGGTACCATCAGAGAGTGCGCTGAACTCCCGAGCTCCATCGCCCTCGCAGCGACTTTCGCCACAGGCCAATGCTATGCCAGTTTCACTTCCAAAGATCGAACCAAAAATCGCTAGTGGCTCTAGTGGCGTCCGGCTTCCGAAGCCTGCTACAGTGGAGGACGAACCTGAAAATCAACTTCCCACAAGATAGGGAAAACCTTACCAACTATCCTTTATCTCGTTTCCCTTTTAGCCATTTCTGAAGTCTTTTTCTAGCGTTTGGGTTACGGCTTATGGGTTCTTGGGGTGCTGGACAGGCACTGGCGCTGGTGTTCTTGGGTATTTGATCTTGCGATTGCAGACTTTATGGGTTGGGTTGCATTGGGCTATGCATGTATGCCCAGAATTCTGAATCACAGAAGAGTCAAGTTGGAGATGAGCAAGAATAAACAGAAAGAAGTCCAGCAAGAAACTGCATCAAGTTTAAAGACAAATCATTGTCAATATGACATTCCTAATAATCGCCCTCCTGGTATCAAACGCCATCCATGCTGCCAGTTCCAAAATCAGCCCCATAAGCGCCTCTTAGTCGTTCAAGACACTCTCATAGATGCATTCCCTGATCATCATCATCTCCCTCTGTCATAGCTCTCATCCTCTCTTCCATAGCCCTCCTTAGAGTGTCATCATCCAATCTACCTCCCCCAGTACCCGGGCTACTAGTACTCGCAACCCCACTATTAGTCTGCGTCTGTAAAGGTCTATCCATCCTAACCTCCCCGTCAACAATCCGTCCCGTCTGGAACGTCCCATCATTCCACGCCGAGCTCCTTTCACCTCCTGTCGCAGCTACTGCGACCTGTCCCTCTGCTTCCGCCGCCGTTCCATTAAGAAAGCCCCCACCAGCTTCAGAACCCTCCAGCTCCAACTCCTCCTTACTCTGAAACTCCGTCCAGCTTGCGCCTCTACTCTCAACCTCCCTCTTCAATAACTCTATCCTCTCCATCTGCCTCTTAATCACGATCTCGTTCTCTTTGATTGCATCAACACAATCCGGATCTGGGACGCCGTTCGTAGATTCTTCTGTACCGTCTGCAAAGGGTCGGAGCTGCTCGTTTGAATAGTCGAGGTGCGCGATGCTATTGCGGAGTTCCATGGCTTTGAGGTGAAGCGTGGAGATCGGGAGATCTTTAAGGGCGGTGGCGAATTGGGTGAGGGAAATTGGGATGGCTTCTGATGACATTGTAGATAGCTTGTCTTGAATTGCGATTCGTGGTTCGTGGTAAGGTGGTGAACTAGTTTGAGCAATTGATGATGGGCTTGGAAGCTTTTCATAAAGAGGGGAGCTTTATTGTAAGGCAGCGGGGAGACGCGAGGACGCGGAATTGGTCTGTGCGCAATGTGTGGCATTCTCTTGAGAATTGTAGGGATTAGCAGGCCCAGAGAGTGTGACGAAGTCAACGAAAGGATTCAGCTAGGAACCTGGCTCCTTGAGTGAGAAAAGGAATGCGAGGAGGGGGCCGAATGGGAGTTGATGAAAGCCAACATCGTCCAGAACTCTCCAGAGCCATCCATTTGAACTATCACACTAGCTTCTGCAAATAGTACATGTTGTATTCCTTCAGCCCCCGTTCTAGTACAAAGAAACAAGTGTCAGGCAAAGCCTTTACAGAGATTTTTGATAGATCCCAGGGATCTAAACTGCCTCGTCTTATACATAGTCAGGATACTCGTAAAAGAGTCTATTGTCATATGGATCAGCGAACCGAATAAATTGCTAACCTGGGCAATTCTGAAGTGTCGTAGAGATCTAGGTTGTGCAGTGATGAGAACGAGCTTAGGATTTTGATCTCCTCTTTCATAATAATTTGCCTCATAGATCTGGAGGTCTATAAAAACTTTTCCTAGTTTGCAAAGATGAAGCCAAGATTGAATTAGCTAGTACTAATAAACATCTGATTTGTATAATAGTAGGTATCTTTACACGATACGACGACTCTTTGAGTATTATTATATTATCTAGCTAGTATCTTAAGCCATACCTAGCTAATCTCTCAGGCTTTTTATAGCTCTATCTAGTTAAACAACTACTCCAGATAAGAAATCGGATGTTGTCAATTTGAAGAGCATCTCTTCCCCACCAAATGATATCCTACAGCCAAATAATATCCTACAGCAGCAGGGATAAGTCGAGATTCAGTCCTGCGGGCGGAGATCGTCATCTTAGGCCACTATATCCTTGCTTCATGCTGGGATGCTGCTGCAAGCTGCGCGCCGGCAGTCTTGGCTGGGTCTTAGGTCTTGGCTGACTGCCGTTTCTTGTTTTGATCATCTGCACTGCGCTGCACTAATCCTGGTGATGATTCAATGAAGGAGGACTATGCCGGGTCTTTTTTCCTGTGTCTCTTGAGCCTCTCCTCTCCTTCAATCGATCTTTGGAAAATTTGGGATTTTATCGGTCGCAGCTGCTGTTTATAGCTCTCTAAGACAGCCACCCGAATTGTTTGTTGACTCCCGTCCCCCAGCTCGAGCTTGTCATTCCACTAGACGCGAAGCTGAGCTGACAACCTTCTTTCGCCCAGCAGTTCCTTCTCCATACTGCGTTAATTGCGTGTCAAGGGCGCAAACACAGATCTTATCATTAGAGCAAGCCTGTTCCTCTTCACAACTCTCTTTTGTCCAACACTCTATCCAGAGTCCTCGAAACATCGCGAACAATCATGGCAGCTCACTATCGAGACGAAGCCGCATTGGGTCCCGATCATCCGGATAATCATGCCTCTGCAAACCGTTGGCGCCATCAAGAATCCTCAGCATTTCGTGCCCATGCGGCTCCTCGAGGAGCAGATGAGAGAGGAGGTAGCAAGGACCTGGCAGATTTCTTGAACGGAGATAGAGTTGAACCACCAAAGTCCGCCGGCTCAGGAGGATCGAAAGCGAAGCCAATCATGGTCGCAGGGAATGCGCGTAACGGAGACAATGGTCCTACATACAGTGCGCAACATGATCCTATTGGACATGATAAACATGCGGACGGAACTCATGGGACGTTGGAGGTCAAATGTGGTCCATTGCTCAATTACAGGCGCATGGAGAACGAAACATGGTTTGGCAGTGTTCTGGTCGTCACAAAAGGGGGAGGACTCGGGGACAGCCCAGAGGTTCCGGAACTGAAGCTAAGAGCTGCGTCAGCTGGACGCCCACCAGTGGATCATGTTGGTAGCAACGTGAGCGGAGCAACTGACGACAATCGAAGCGACAACTATGGAGTTGTAAATGGAGTGGACTACAGCAACTTCAAGCAGCCCGAGTCTGTACCACAGAACAGCGTACAAACAAACCGGGCTGGTGGTGGCCAGGCTTCTGGAGAGATGAAAGTTCGGGGCACTAAGCTTTACTCTGACCGCGAAAATACATTCTGGCGATTTGACCTGCAGGTTCCCATGCATCAATCGGAGTTGAAGTGCGACTATGAGATCCCATCCCTCATCTTCACATCTGGAGGCAAGACCGACAAGCAAAGCTTCTACATTCCCGCCATCCCAGAATCCATGAGAATTATGTTCCATTCTTGTAATGGATTCAGTGTTGGTACAGACGAGCAGGCCTATAGCGGAGCTTGCTTGTGGAATGACGTACAGCGAGAGCATGCTAAAGCTCCTTTCCATGTCATGTATGAGCTTCGCGACTTTATGGATCATCCTTGCAACTACTAACATGTGACAGGCTCGGAGGCGGAGACCAGATTTACAACGATGGTATTCGAGTTGGAGGACCTTTGCGAGAATGGACCGATATCAGTAACCCTCACAAGAGAAAGGAGTATCCCTTCGCGGAGTCCTTGCGAAAGCGGTGCGACGAGTACTATGTAAACAACTACATAAAGTGGTAGGATATTGCGATATACAGGAAGGAATTACACTGCTAAACCTTGCCAGGTATTCAACCGAACCATTTGCAGGTGCCAATGGCCAGATTCCTCAACTGAACCTTTGGGACGACCATGACGTGGGTGCTCATTCGATTCTGTTCCCACAACGCTGACATTGTACTAGATCATCGACGGATTTGGTTCATACGTGGATGACTTTATGAGATGTTCAGTATTCCGCGGAATCGGTGGAGTAGCAAATAAATATTATCTTTTGTTCCAACACCACCTTGCTCCTCCGCCCTCTACCTACACTACCGGTAAGGACAGCCTTCTTGGAGCAATGAAAATAAGCTAACACCCACAAAGATGCACCTCAAACTACCGGCCACCAGGAGGTTGGTCTTGACAAAAGACAGCTAGAGAACACCTATGTTCTGGATGAGAAGACCATCGATTCGAGCTATATCATCGGAGCTAAGCCTGGTGTAAGGGTCTCTTTCTATATCACGTGATATGCAACTTATATTCCTTGCCTTTAGCCATATGTTGTCGAGCACTCCCGAAGCATCTATGCGAGACTTGGTGCTAGGATAGCCTTCTTCGGTATTGATGCCAGAACAGAGGTAGAATCTCTCCTTCAGACCATGTCGTTCGGCGACTGATATTTTAGCGAACCCGAAAACAAGTCAACTACCCTGAAACCTATCAAATAATCTTCAGCAGATTGAGGAAGGAGCTCGCCGCCGCCAAGGGAAGCGCTTCCCCAATTCAGCATCTGGTTGTTCTCCTGGGTATTCCAATCGCATATCCAGTATGTCTCAACGACAATTTGTAACTTTGTACCACCACTAATATGTCCCAGCGCTTGACTTGGTTGGAGAACATCTTCTCAAGCCCTATCATCGCCCCTATCAAGTTTCTCCATAAAAGATTTGGCTTCGGTATGTCACAAGACTCCATTGATACTTTATAAATTTTAACGTTTTTCAGGCGGTGGATTCTTCAACCATTTCGACGGCAGCGTTGATCTGTTGGATGACCTCGATGATCACTACACGGCACGTACTCATAAGAAGGAGCGACTCTTTCTCGTTCACCAGCTGCAAGCGCTCGCATCCGAGTTCTCCGCCCGGATAACCATTTTGGGCGGTGACGTACACTTGGCAGCAGTTGGTCGATTCTACTCGAATCCCAAGCTTCAAATCCCTGTTGCCAACGATTATCGTTACATGGCCAATATAATCTCCTCCGCCATCGTCAACAAGCCGCCTCCACAGGCTGTTGCAAATTTGCTGGCTCGAAGGAACAAGCTACATCACCTGGACCACGATACGGATGAAACATTGATGAAGTTCTTTGATAAGGACCCAGGTGATTCAAATAAGACATCTAATTCGAATAATGTTACTATGCCAAGTCGAAACTGGGCTGTTATCACCGAGAACTCCGCTGGAGCAAACCAACGCCCTGTCACCAATGGGAATGGAGCCAACGGAACCGCCCCTAATGGAACCCCTGAGGCTATTTCTGAAAGACAGGGTACCTCCAAGGCGAAGGATGGTCATTCGTGGCTTCATGAAGGTGAGGTCGATGCTGGAACGAAACACAAGGCTGCCAATAGCTCGACCCATGGCAAGAATACTGATGGCAGTTTGGATGTTTGTATCAGAGTTGAGAAGGATCAGCATGACAGTGAGGGCAAGACACAGTCATATGGTTTGACAATCCCAATTCTCAAAGTCGAACCCGGCGTGTCAAACAAAACACTGGAGAGGAGACACCCGGCTGAGGGAACTGTTCGGGAGCATTCCTAGTTGTTTCTGATTTTCTTTATGATGATCCTTTGCGCTATTGGCTATATGTGGGTGTAACCATGCAGCAGAGATATCCCAACTGTACTAATAAGAGCATTGATTGGTTTTTCCTGAACTCGTGAGCCGAAGCCGGATGCGACATCAGTCGTTTTTCCGTCTCACGCGAGTACTTTACGCCGCTTCTGTTGGTATTCTCATCCAGGAATTCACATTGGAGAAACTGAGCTGTAAAGAAAATATTGAATTGTTTGAATTACCAGGCCATGTAGAGGCAACCACCCGATAGGTAGAGGATTTCTAACTATCCATGCGTGCTGTCAATTATGGATTTCTTGTTGCTGGCAATTCTCAACTTCGCTTCGCTCCAGCAAAGTAGGAAAAGTATGCATAGACATACATCTGTGGGGCGAGTTATGATGGGAAGTCAGTGAAGTAGTTTGTCTTGTTGTTGGCTATGAACTTGAATTTGAGCCTGGTTTGCATAGCAATACAATTCTAAGAAGTTCGTCTGAACTCCTCCCTCTCTGAAGCGAGATATTGTTTACATTTAGTCGAATCCCCAATACACTACTATGGTGAGCTCCGGCTAAAAGAGCCCCTTGCGCTTGATCTTATGACTCCTAGTTGAGGGTTTGGTCAAGGAGCATAGGACAGCGTGGGGGAAATGTATATAGCAGAGGTATGTGGCTTTGCGATGTAAATGCAATTTATGTCCTGTTGGCGAGCGTTCACAGCTGAAAAGTCACTTCACTTCACCGTAATACCACGAGTAGTCAACTGTTCAACTCACATCAAAAGCTAAAGTAAAGAAAAGGGCTTTGCTTTTACTCAAACCCCAAGAAAGATTTAGAAGTTGAGAAGCAATAGTAGCTTCTCAAGACCGAGTATTGTTGTGACTCCCAGTCCTTGCTTGCAATTGCAGTCGTTGGTCATGTGATTTACGGCTGTCCTCAATTTTCTGCATTCATAGTTCCGCTCGATCTTGAAGAGATTACCTTACTCAATTACTATTATGCTTGAAAATCTCGAGAACATGCCCTCCAGGCCCTCCAGGTATTCTGGTTGATTTGGTCAAAAAAATGTCACGCTGACTCAGCAGGTCTTCGGCACCGCTAGTCCCAATCAGAAAAGCAGACCCGGAGCTCGAAACTCGCGAACTTCAATTGATAAAAGCAGCACCAGCATCGAACGGGGCCGTGCAAGTCGCAGAATGGACTCTGTTGAGCCAGTACTTCACCAGCAGCTGTCCTCTCAATACCGAGCACTGCAACCACAAGCTGCCCAAGCCATTCAACATGGACAGCATGGCCAGCCTCACCTAGGTCATCATACGCTGGCTTCCCAAGGCGGACTCGACCTCGATCTTAACAATAGCGATGCAGTGTTCCACCAAGAGCTTCGATTGCAAGACCCAAACGGACACGGCTTTCAACCCTCGAATCCCTTCGAACACAGCCATAGCCACGGTGGACCTATGCATGTGCAAAATAACGGTAGTCCGCATACCCCGCAGCATAACAATGGTGGACAGTTTGGGATCCTGACCGCCGGGTCAATTCAGCACAACTCGATTGCCCGTTTACAGGAGGATGACAACAATATGTTTGGCGCAGCGGACGGGTCAGACCAGAAGAGTAATGGGCATCTCAGCACCAAGGTCGTTGTTGATCCTCCTAATCTTGCAGAGTGGCGCCAGAAACTGTTTAATGTGGACGAAATGATCACATTAAGTGAAGATGAGTTAGTGTTCAGGTCTCCTACTATATTACTGTATGCACATGTGCTAAAAGATTTTTATAGATTTCAGACATATTTCCCTCACGTTGATAATGTATACTCCCACCGTTCGACACAGCGCTACAAGAGGAAGCCCTTCGTTTCTCATTACTGGGACTGCCGGCTTAAAGGACGGCCACCTGGAACACCCAAATCAAACGACCCCAACAAGAAGAAGCGGAAGCGAACGGCAAGAGAGCGTGACCTATGCGATGTAAAGATCAAAATCACAGAATATTTTCCAGGTGCTATGTTGAGGCCGGATTTTGTTCCCGATGGAGGCCCAGTAACACAAACAGACCCATCGCAAAGCAACAACTTCTTTGCACCAGGTCAACCAGGAGGTCCTATCCAACAACAGAACCAGTTTAGCGGTGTTCCCTTTGCCAACACTTCGGTTGCAAACAACCATCCTGGCGCAACAGGACAGAGGTATTACACCATTCAGCGAGTCAACGGCAATGGTGGGAATGGTAAAGGCGATGGTGTTCCAGGGCCTCACAAGCATGCACTTGAAGAGAGCGATCGGGTTAAGAAGAACAGTATCCAAAGACTTACGATGAAGAAGGACAAGGAGGAGAAGAAAATACAGGTATGTACTCTCCAGTCTTCGAGCGCACGGACCATTTACCCCGGATTCTTGGCGGTAATAGAGCAGCATGGGAACTCTTTCGCGAGCTGCAAAGAGGCCGGTCCACCTCTGCCACTGTCCAGGATCATCGTTACTAGACGTGATTTATCGCGGCTGTCTTTTATTATTCCAACAAATATATAACGGCATCCTCTTACTATTATAAAATGGCTGGTCGTATTGCATGACCCATGCTCTTGCTCAGGACCTTGAACAGCATCTTTACTTTTCTCATATTCAAGCCAGATATACGTTCTCCAGGACAATGACTGATTTAACTGCACAATAGAAGACATATCACAAGAAAGCCAGCGGCAATGCTTTGATTACAGTCAGAAAACATTCTAAGGATAATGAACTGAAGTTATTTGGAAGCTGCTTCTGGTGAGTGCAAATTGACGACCGCCAGGCACATCCTGTTACGTCAGAAACAAAATCGCGACACAAACTGACTCCGCTAGTCCGTTCGTACAGCGAGTTTGGATCGCTCTGGAAGCCAAGGGTTTGCAATACCAGTATATTGAGGTAGATCCATATAAGAAGCCTCAGGCTTTATTGGATGTCAATCCGCGAGGTCTCGTTCCTGGAATACGACATGGAGACTGGGGTTGTGGTGAAAGCACAGTCTTGATGGAATACGTACGTCTCAAAGTATTGCTGTGGTGAAAACACTTATTGACAAACTTGTAGCTCGAAGATCTCGGCGCCGGCCAGCCTCTTCTTCCACCCAGTAATCCTCAACTCAGAGCCAATTGCAGACTTTGGGCGGACCATGTAAGTGACTTTGCTGATGTTACGGCATCATACGATCTAACACGACTTAGATCAATCGTAACATCGTCCCGGCCTTCTACCAGCTTCTCCAGGCCCAGGAATTCACCAAGCAAACTGAATACACCACCAAACTCAAAGACGAAATCGCTAAGATCGTCGACGTCCTGGATCCCCACGGTCCTTTCTTCCTAGGGCCTCAACTCTCCTATGTAGACATTCAATTCGCGCCTTGGATGCTCCGGCTGACGAAAGTCATGAAGCACTACCGCGGCTGGCCTGATCCAGTACCCAACAGCAGATGGGGACGCTGGCTTGAGGCTGTAGTGAACAACGAGCACGTCAAGAACACTACCAGTCTGGACGACCTGTATACTGATAGTTACGAGCGGTATGCGCAGAACCGACCTAATACTTCGGAGTTAGCGGATGCTGTCAATGGTGGGTATGGCCTGCCATAATTGATCTGGGAGACGGCGTAGGAAACGGTAAAGATGTTTGTGATACGATAATCTACGGTCGGCTTACAGGACGGCTGATTGTGTGTGGTGTTGCAGAATGGGAAGAAGGCGTTATCGGCGTTCTATTTTCTGATTGTTTGATGTCTCTATGTATGATTATGAGATGCTGGTTAACGATCGATGAATGATGGCAAGGGATGCATAGAATAGCTTGGAGGCGACATGAAGGACGTATTGTATTGGATGATGTGGCCAGGCACCGCATTGCCTAGGCCTAATGACTGAATAGAGCTAATTATGGATGCTACATCAGTCGTTTTTCCCTCTCGCGACAGCACTTTACGCCGCTTTGTCAATGGCAGTAATTTTGTGATGGTCTACAACCCATTACGAAAGTAGTACATAGTGCCAGAGATGATTTTGACCAGACAAGTCAGGCCCCGGGAAATATACCGGGCGACAACTCATTTCTCTACAGAACAAAATCTAAACTGCAACGCTGAATCTGATCCTGAACCGAAATATCATATAAATCAGTTAACAAAAAATCCATCCTCCTTGCCACTACTGTTTCCATCGCCCTTGTTTCCACCTCTAAACACCGTCCCCTCAAACTTAGGCACATCAAACGTTCCCTCTGGATCCTTCCCGGTCTCCATGATGTACTTCTGCACCTTAGAAACCTGATGTCTCACTTCGCCCAGCAAAGCCGTCATGTCCAGCCTAACATTTGGATTGACCTTCGCACCAGCCTTGATAGCAGCTTCCATGACATGGTATCTGCTTACACTGTTGCGGAGCATCATGTCGAATGGTGTCGTTGTAGATCCTTCTTCTTTGTAACACTCGACGGTGATACGGTCGAGGTTTGGACGCCCGAAGAGGAGACCCTTGATTTCGTTGCTGTAGCCATGGTAATTGAAGTGGATGGGATGATTGGGCGTGAAGAGGGAGTTGAACTCGTCGTTGGTCAGGGAATGGGGGTGGAGAGTCTCGGCTTCTAGGATCATGAGATCTGTGACGTTGACGACTCGTACTCGGAGTGCGGGACACTTTCTGCGAAGGATGGAGGCGGCGACAACGACTTCGAACATTAGTTCAGACCCAATACCCACGAGTGTTACGTCGGGGTTCAGCCCGTCCTCTGTGGATGCAAATTTCCAAACTGATGCTCCTGCTTGACAGTGTGCTTCTGCTTCTTCAACTGAGAGGAACACTGGCTGCGGTTGTTTAGAACCCACCATGAGGTTTACGTAGTTCTTAGAGCGGAGACAGTGGGCTACTGTTGAGAGGAAGGTGTTCTGTTTCTTGTGTTTAGCTGCAGGTCCTCGCTGATGGTAAAGTGATTAGCTAGCGAGGGTGACTTACCGCGTCAGGAGGGAAGTAAACTCGCGCAGCATTTGGCTTCAGGTTTAGAACTGCGCCGATAAATGAGGGATTCTGGTGGGAGAAACCATTGTGCTCTTGTCTTGTCCAGGTACTTGTCTCGATATAGTTGATGCTAGAGAGATCTGTTCGCCAGGTGGTTTCGCGAGCCATCTTGTTGAACTTGCTGTACTGGACCATCATCGTATGAATGATACCCAGGAAACTCTCATATGACGGGAAGATGCCGGTCCGGCCAGTGAGCGTGTAGCCCTGTAGAAAACCCTGGCAAGTGTGCTCGCTGAGGATTTCTATGACTCGGCCACCTTTGGCATGGGAGAATTCATCCCACTGGAAGTCTCGACCAGTGTGGTTGAATACTGCATCAAGCTTGTTGCTGACTAACTCATCTGGGGAGAAGATTCGAAGGGATTTGGGGTTATCCACAAGAGCCTGGTCGATTAAATTCCCAATAGCCTTCATGCAGGACTCCTCTGTTCCTTTCTCCACTCCATATCTTCTCCAATCGGGAACTTTCAACGGCTCGTAAGACTTGTATGTCTCAGCACGCTGTCCGAGCTTTTTGTTTGCATCAACGGGAATGACGCTCTTAATAGAATCGGTCACATTGCCAGTCTCTGTGAACAACTTTGCAGGTCCGTAAGACAGAAGCCACTTCTGGAGGTCCGCGAGCTGATCTTCGTTGGTTTTGGCGGCCATCAGTGGAACTTGATGAGCGTGGAAGGACCCTTCAACGAACTCGCCATCGACAACCTTAGGTCCACTCCAACCTTTGGGCGTCCTCATTATGATGACAGGCCACTAAGGTTCACATTCAGTCCAGTTTAGTCTATGTTGCATACAAATTTGGTACTTACGCGAGGCTTCATGATAGGCTTGCCAGATCTTGCAGCCTTCTGGATCATCCGGATCTCGTCCAAAGCCCACTGGAAGCTTGTCGCCAAATCTCGGTCCTTTTCATATTTAGTACGCTTCTGTTTGATTTTGGCCATTGAAGCTTACGATGTCTTCTAGATCTTCCACGAATCTGCACTGGTACCCGTAACCCGTGAAAAGAGTAACCATTTCCTTGTCATCCATGCATCCGTAAATAGTTCTTTCAGAGATCTTGAACCCGTTCACGTGCACGATAGGTATAACCGCACCTGATTCAGCAGGATCGATGTATTTGGCCGCGTGCCATGCAGTGGCAGTTGGACCGGATTCAGCCTCTCCGTCACCAACAATACAGCCAACAATCAAATCTGGCTTGTCCATAACAGCTCCAAAAGCAACCGAGAGTGCATATCCCAGCTCACCACCTTCATGAATAGAGCCAGGCGTTTCAGCATTGATGTGACTGGGGAATCCGTGAGGTGTGCTAAAGCCAGTTATAAGATTATGTAAACCCTGTTTGTTTTGACTGTATTGTGGGTAGAATTTCTCGAGGCTACCTTCCAGCCAGAGAGACGCAAGAATAGCTGGAGCACCGTGCCCTGGACCGACAACATAAATACAGTCAAGATCATTTTTGCGGGTGAGGAAGTTAAGGTGGGCGTAGACGAGGGTTAAACCTGGGCATGTTCCCCAGTGCCCTAGAAGCCTGCCGGAGCCGAAGATTAGATACGGTTTTGGTGTCTTAATGGAGATAATGTAGAGTCTTACCTCGGTTTGATATCATCAAACTTGAGATCTCGCTCAAGGAAGGCATTATCACTGAGAAAAATCATGGCTATCGGAGTCAGTATATGGTATTTCAATTACTTTGTAGCAAAGACCCTACCAGCTGCAATGTAGTTGCTTGCTCTGCGGAACTCCTCGAGTCCTTTGAGGTCTGCATCACTCAGTTGCAGCTTCTCAAGCTGAACTGAGAGTTTGAGTACATCGTCCGGGATCAAAGACTTCAAAGCTTTGGGATTTGGCCTGTCAATCACTTCCCCAGGCATATTGGCGGATAAAGGGCGTAACAAGCAATGAGATAGCACGACTAAACAGCTCTTAAGGTAGCAATTGGTATGGATCTGAGAAAGTGACAGTGATGGGTTTAAGAGAAGGGGAACAGAAAAAGCCGGTTGATAAGTGGAAATAAGAAGATCAACTGATCATGTCCTCTGAAAACTTGACATCAAGGACTCCGGCTAGAGCAGCAGGCTGCGTCACAGCAACTTTGAACGGAAGTCTCGGATTCGTTGGCCCTGATATCACGTTCTAGAGCCTGCAAACCAGGACCTAGAAGATTGCACACACGTTGCCGGCGCTTCCAATTGCATTGGTCTACATGGAATGATGCGCCAGTACAAGTGGACGGCAGCTGCGGGCTCGGTGCTCGAAAAATGATGGTTCCCGATGTTTGGGGCTTGCCTGTTTTCAACAACGTCATGGCTTGACTTCGATTTAGAGCTCCTTTTATTTTACCGTCCGCCGTCGTCCTCAGCCTTGCCAAGCTGGACATTCTCGAAAGCGCGATTGTGATCAGGTTTTATAGCCTCGTATGCTTTGCTTGTTTGCATTCCTCTTGTTTGGGCCGCTGTGCTGAGCAGCGAAAAAGTGGCATGAGTTCTGCTCTGCGTCTGGAGAGTGCGGGCTGGAAAATAATCAACATCATGGCCTGATGGAAGCAGGCTATCCCTGCAATCCGCTTAGTATCCCTGTCGGACAGGGGATCGCAAGCTTTATACGGCTAGTTTTCTCGGTTATGATAAGCCTAGCTCCCGAGGTGGAACGTCATGTCATGATCCGATGGAGGGAGGAGAACTCTGGCGGGGCCTTGAGATATTTCTCAGAATGAATAACAGAATAGACTGCCCGGGCATCCTTTAGATAGCCTCAGTTCAAATCTCCGAGAAAGAGAGACTCATCTTCCTAATCGAACGGGCATTTTGGTTGATCATGTCCAAAATAATCCTTTCCATCAATGCCGGCTCTAGCTCCGTCAAGATCTCTGTTTACACAGCATTTTCCGGAGAAGACCCGAAAGAGCTCGCAGAGACGCAAGTAGATGGTCTTACCTCTCCTCCCCCACAACTGAAATATACCCGCTGTTCACAATCAATTTGCAAAGATCAGAAACTCGACGAGAAAATCTCAAGCCAGAAAGATGCCTTCAAATACATGCTGGACATGCTGATCAAGGACTCGGAATTCTCGCATATCACGAAACAAGACGATATCGCTCTTGTCTGCCACCGTGTAGTTCATGGCGGTGATTTTGAAACTCCGCAGATTATCAACGACGAGACGTACCACAAGCTCGAAGCTTTGACCGACCTCGCGCCACTACACAATGCTTCCGCTCTTGAGATCGTACAATGCTGCATTGAAGAGATGCCCAAAACGCGCAATGTAGCTGTGTTTGATAGCGAGTTCCATCAGAGTATACCGGAACATATCAGGACGTATCCAATCAACCAAGAGATTGCAAAGAAGAACAAGCTGCGTAAATATGGTTTCCACGGGATCAGCTACTCGTTTATCACGAGACGTGTGGCGGCATACTTGGGGAAGAAGGAGGGTGAGACGAATTTGATTGTATTACATCTTGGAAGTGGTGCTAGTGCGTGTGCGGTGAAGAATGGGCAGAGTTTTGATACTAGCATGGGATTGACACCTCTGGCGGGCTTACCTGGTGCGACGAGAAGTGGCAGTGTAGATCCCAGGTATTTTGTCGTCGTAACTTGCGTATAGCGAGCCGTGTGCTGATAGCTTATTAGTCTTGTCTTTCACTACGCATCAGACGTTGGAAAGCTCTCCCCACACTCTACAGCGGATCTTCATATATCGCGCGCGGAAGAGATTCTCAACAAAGAATCAGGCTGGAAATCCTTAACCGGCACAACGAATTTCGGAACCATCGCCTCGTCCGACGATCCAAAGATGAAGCTAGCATTCAATATCTTCCTAGATAGAATTCTCAACTACATCGGTGGTTACTATGTGATTCTCAATGGCAAAGTCGATGCATTGGTCTTTGCTGGAGGGATCGGCGAGAAGAGCGAGGTGTTGAGACGGAGAGTTGCTGAGGAGACTGCTTGCATAGGTTTCGAGATCGACTCAGAAGCCAATAAGAAGCCTATCAGAGACGTCGTGCAGAGTGTTGGGAAAGATGGAGCAAGGCACAAACTTCTAGTGTGCCAGACAGACGAACAGTTTGAGATGGCGAGGTGTTGCTCTATGGATGATAAGCTGTTTAATTGAGCGTTGGTTTAGTAATGAAGTTAGCGATAGATACGAGGACTATACATCATGTTTGCTATCACTTGCCTCATATTTATTGATTCACGATTCGTTATTCCATCCTTGTCTCGCACAACCAGCAGTAGATGCAGCTCCCAACTAGACCACCTCAGACAAAGTCTTTGATAGATGTAACTCCAGCCGAGATATTGCCAAAGGAGCTTATTCTTCTAATGTCTTACTCGTCACAACTAGGTCGTTCAGCAGATTTTCAACTCCTTTTCTCAACGAGTTGGATAAATGTACAAGATTAGGGGCTGAGCTGGTCCATTCAGGAGCATCTCGCTCATGTGCTACTATCAATAATATTCCATGTGAAGCACACGTGTATGAAACATTTTGTATGTATGTCTTAAGAAGTAGCCATAATTTTTTATAACGCAACCCAAAATTACGACGAACAGCAATCTTCATCTCTAGCGATCTCATCACTTCAGGCCCTGCAAGAACGAAGTTACAAAACTAGGAATTGGTAAGTATATTGAAAGACGAGCCACATGTCTAAAAGAACCGAACGAATTGCCCTAAACGCACCAAGTCCTATTACAGTTGCAGTATTTTGGCGAGATGGAGCTCCTGATTTCTCGCCACAACACAGCTGCGATGCCCGGGATCTGATTCTACAAGCAGATGGTCTTGTAGGCATGCGAATCCTCAAAAGATGCTGGGAAACTCGATTCTCTCAGAGCAAAGTAATACTGAAGCTTGACTCTAATGTTCTTTAAAGCTTATTATGCAGATAATATTGCAGTCCTTCGACGCATGTAGCAGCACACATTGTCAAAATTGGTTCTTCTAGTGGCATTTGGCAACCCATATTGCTCAACACTAGATAATCACAGTCGGGGAACTTTGAGCTTTCCAGTTTTTTGATGAACAGTCAACGAGCATCAACTGTCTCTCCAACATAAAACTCGCGTTGAATTACCCAGGCACGGATCATCAAAATATCTCTCGGGCCAAATACTTTGAGCACCAGTGCCTGCTTTGTCTCTGTGGCATTTGAGTGAGATTTGAAAGCGTTGGTCGGTATTTTGACTTCAAAGCAATCCATTCAACTCGTTGTCGGGCAGTTGGAAGTGAGCAGGGTACCGATCAGAGAATGGGGTTCTTTGATCAGACTCAACAAATTCTAAGCAGGCCAGTACAAAATAGAGATCGAATTGCCAATCAGTGAATTGCAAATTTGCAATTGGACTAAACTAGACTTGATAAGAGCCTCCACACCCACAACATTGCAGTCTCGCACCACCCTTACCTCTGCATTCCTAATACACGATCATTCCTGCGCATTCTATTGATAATTCCTACTGGGGGCACCAAATTCTAGAAGTCTGGTCGAAGCCGCGAGCCAACAAAGGATGAGACGTTATTCAGATTGTTACTGGGCTAACAAAGACACAAGGAAGAACAGGAGGGGCAGCAATGCACCGGTCACCAAGAAGGGAAGAAGCATACCACATCGCAAGCAACAGGGTCCCTTTCAACATAGCGTGGCTCCGCGTGGCCTCTGAATAGCCCAGGCCCCATTCCAAGTCTGCATTCCTTGTGGTTGTGTCCCCACTTTGATTCGTACTCGTAGACCAGACTGGCAGTGCGGCCGACCAGAGCCGCGCGCGCAAAACTTCCACGTACCTATGCTTGCAAATCCACAGCTGCTCCGAAGGTCGGATGAGGGCTGGAAACCCTCGCTCAACGATCAATCGACCCCTCGCTACACGACAGTTGCCAAATGATCTCATGTCATTGTATTGTGATTGATTGGCGAAACGGTTAGAGACTGTACTGTAGCGAATAGAGATGTGACGAGGCCTTCAAATTCCTTGGCAATCATAGTGAAGAAGGAAAGTAGAATGAGATCGAAGGCACAAAATCTTCATATTAATCTAAAGTTATCTGCTCTCTTGATAGAGAAAGATAGAACCTCCTAAGATTTGTGCAGTATCATACGATTCTTCTCAAGCCTCAACCACTTGTATGCGGAAAATGACTCCTTCGAAAGAAAAAAAAAGGTATCGAAAACAATCGACGACCGATCTCATCATTAATTCGTGTCCAGCTAGCCAGCAAGCAGTAGTAGTTTCATTCCGTATTGCAGGAAATTTGCAGAACCAAGATATCGCCCTGATAAAATCAACCACCTGTCCAAAGCCATGTACCTATGCCACCGTCCAATCAGGAAATATAGTCCTTCTGTGCGAAACGAAACTTCCATCCAGCAAACAGCAAAACCAAAGGGGAATCCCAGATGTGCAAGAACTTCTTTTTGTGTAAAACCCCAAACCCGCTGCTCCGATCTTCCCATGCATGCTTTCGTTTCCACAATTCCCACCCAGACTGGCTTTGTATTGCTACTGGATATAGCCAGTGACGATGCCAGCCGATATCCGTCCGTTTTGTAGCGCCAGGTCGAATTGAAGTATAATAGAAAAGCAAATTCCATTCCGTGCCCCATTTTGTGCAAGCCAGTCTCCTCCAACGTCAAGAAAACGAGCAAAGAAATCCAAACCATTGTACAAGAAAAGGAAAAGCTGTTTCGAGGACAAAAAGGAAAGAGAGAAAACGAGCCGCCTAATTACAAATTTCTGGGTGGCGAGACCGAGGAAATCGGAAACCCAAATGTTGTTTTTATGAGGCCCAGTCGGCCAAAGTCTATAACGAAAAGTTCGTCAATGTGCAAGAAAGGGGGCAACGCAAATTATTCCGAAAAGCAAAAGAGCCTCTCCTGGACCCAAAACACCTGACCAGATATCCTCCCAGTCTTCATGCCATCCTATTTTCGAAGACAAATGAAAAGTCTAAATTCGCTGATGCAACGCCGAAATACCGAAAGTAAAGGAAGTCGTAAGATCGAGGCAGCCGCTGTAAAGGCGCACGCAGCTCGAGACCGTGAGAGGTGTGTATCCGTATGCGTGATTATCGTACTTTTAGGGTTCGGCCGGAACAGCACCACTGAACGTAATGCGCGCTGTGAAATGACGCTGAAAGGAAAACCAATGACAAAAAAAACTTTTGTTTCTGTTAGGCATCAACGGGGTATTGAGCGACCAATCACTGTTCGCAAGTTGCGCAAGAATAAACCAAGAGTGGGTTGGCGAATGCTGTTGTCTATCCGGCGACAATCTGCTGCCCATAGCCATGGCTCATGAAGTATGGTTGCTTGGACTGAATGTTACAGCTGCCACAGTTGCAATCCGCAGAACTGTGATCCCAGATGTTCCCATAATGGTGACCGTAATGATTGTCATAAGGAGTGAACGGAGTGAGTTGCGGGTTGATGTGTGTGGAAACATATGTGGCATGTGTCTGTGGTTGATAACCTCTCGAGTACTGATTGAACACGGCCCAATCGTTGTATCGAGGAGCTCCGCCAGTGGCACTCATGTACTCAGGCGTATTGAGTCCCGAGTCTGGAGCGGAGGGAGGAGTGAGATGTGGTGTAGGATACGAGTTGACCCAAGACGACTGATCATAACCAGAATGGAATCCAGACTGAGGACGCTCTCGCGAAGAACTCTTGGGATACGCATTGTAGGCTTGAGAATATGGACGAGGGCGTTGAACATTCGTGTCGATTGGTGCAAGAGGCATGGGCGCCAGGCGATCAAGAGTCGCTTTACGTTGAATGTTCTTACCCTCGCGCCACTCGTTCCAGCTTTGCAGCCACGCGTTGAAGTCCTTACTCGTATCAAGGTTGACATACAAATTCCATTCCATCGATTCCAGCCATTCGTGTTCCATGGTGTTCAATTCGGAAACGGGGATACCACTGACTTCTGACCACGATCGGTTCTGGAAGGTATTGTCATCCAAAAACTTACTTCCCAAGAGAAGACCTATAGTCAACATTCGCCAGACAACCCCGTCGGTAACTTTGCAAGGTCCAGTGGCCTTGAGCATGTTCATCCGTCTTGCGAGATAGTTCATGCCGAGAAGGATTGTCGTGCTTGGGAGGCGTGTTGAAGTGAGCAAACCCTGAACAAATTTGCGGAAAGCAGGCGAGACGGAACCACTGGGAAGAACAATTCGTTGAGCCATCTCAGCAATATATTCCGTGAGCTGATCGATCTCATAGTCCAGAACGGCACAGACACCACCGGAAGTCAACATGATGGGCAGTCGAGGAAGCTGACAGAGAAATCTCTGTCAGAACAAGAAGAAATAATTCTTCTTGCTTTATCGAATATGCTGAGCGAGATGCTAGATATTCGAATGCTCGATAGCTCGTGATGAAGAGTTCGGCGATGGAAGCTGGTGAGGAAGTTGAGGAGTCGGTGCGATAATTATTCTGCCATATGAATGAATTCGAGGAACGGCTGCAAAAAATCCTCAACGCAGTCGGAGGAAGCGACAAACGTCACGCAACGCCTTCAAATCAAATCGACCATGCGGCGAAGGGATTTCGTTCGCGATAATGGATGGTTTAGGTATTCTAAAGTAGCTCGTTAGCTTCGTATTTCGCACAGAACTTTCCGCGACAACCCTCGGATGTTTTTTCATGAACTGCCAGGGAATCGAAACAGATGTTGTTCGTCATGTCGACGCAGACAATTGCGATAATAGCCACGTAGATGCTTTCAGGCTTCGAGGAATGTGTGGCGCAGGTGAAGGCATTCACTCGAAGGATTGTGGCAATAACAAATTGAGCATCCGAGTAGGGGACAACGGTAATGACGGAAGTCCTTCGGTTTCGTTGCGATCTTGCAGTGCCCGAATCTAATCTACCAGAGTGTATAAAGAGAATATTCACGAACCTCCTAAGCTTCCCTGGCTGGGTTCTACCAAATGCCCTGGATCGCTGTCGTCGACTTCAGGATTGTGGCCTGTACCGGTTTGGGGATGAAGAATCGAGAGAAGCCCTTTGCAGAATCGATGGAAGGATGCGAAGTCGAAGTGCGTAAAGGCAAAGGAGGAGGAGGAGCAGAAGAAGGAGAGGATCCCGCAGGTTGTATGTCGAGATGATCGAGGAGATGAGGAGGTGGAGGAGAGACGCAAATGGGGAAGGGGGAGGAAATGGAGATGGCGATGGGGATGGGGATGGCGATGTGAGTAGAATTGATTATTCCCTGCAGAGAGAAAGACACGGACAGGTCAGGCGAGGCGAGGCGTGGCGTGGCGCGGAAGGAGAAGGGAGGGAAAGGGAAGGGACGCCGGCCGGTCCAGTGGGTGGGTGGGTGCAGGTGGCTCTCCTGGGGATGGAGCAGAGCAGAGCAGAGCAGAGCAGAGCAGAGCAGAGCAGAGCAGAGCAGAGCAGAGCAGAGTGCGTGCAGTGCAGAGCAGTCCAGTGCAGCAGTACCAGTAGTGGGCAGCAGTGGGCAGCGGTGGGCACTGGGCAGAGGGCAGTGGCTCGAGTGGGACTGGAACGCTACCACGGTTACTGCGCTAGGGTGCACTGTGCGCTACCTACATTAACTAAGTACATTACGCGACGCTAGGTACTTCCGTACTTTCGTACGCTAGGTAAATTTACGCTCCAGTCCAGTTCGCTACAGTATTAATATTGTGCCATGGAACCTCCTAACCGTGAATGGAGTGGACTCGCTGCAGTGGAGTCTCACTCATTCCCGTCCGTTTCCTGGACTGTGGACTGTGGACTCTCGTGCCAAGCAAGGCCCAGGGGCCACCACCACCAGGGCACCTTTCTTGCCTGCCTGCCCTGCCTGCCCTGCCCTGCCCGCCTGTGCTGCCCGACCGTACCCCTTCCCTTCCCTGCAGCCGCGTCTTTCCTCCTCTTTCAATAATGGATTCCTCAATTTACTCGTACTTTTCATGGGACAGGCCAGGCAGGATCACTACCTATCCACTACAAACCACGGAGGTACGAGTACTGCCTTTTTTGGGGGGCGAGGGGGGGGACCACACCACCATCAGATCCTCCTTCCACGAGGCATTACTAGCTACCACTGAACGAATCATCGATACTGTTTGGTTTATAAGGTACATTTAGATAGGCAAGATAGGCATGCAAGCAGTATTGGTCATTCACGCTCTGTAGGTAGGTAGGTAGGTAGGTAGGTAGTGATCGTGTCATGGATTGTTTTCGGCTTTGCAGCTGCTGCACCCGGGCACATGAACAAATACCTACCTAAATTTACCTTAGGTAGGTAGGTCGTAGAGATGAAGTAATTTATTCACTTGAGTCTTCTACAATCCATCCCGTACCAGTAAATTTACTATCATGTGTGCTATACCCAGGCTACCCCCAGGCTACCCGTGTTGTTGTCCCGTATGGAATGGAATAATGTTGCGCACCATTATTCTAGGTAATTTACCTCCATACAACTTCGCCGCGGTTTGCACGAAGCACCCCAGGGTCTTCCTCGTATGGCCACTCCACTGTCCGCGATCTGGTGCTGACGCTGACACATTTGCGTGGTCGTCTGGCATTTTCTCAAGGGCAATCTCACCCGCTAGATGAGCCAGCCTGTCCCACACCTCCCTAGCCAAATAACGTCCAAAGAGGCGGTGTCCAAGGGGGCCAATCGCTGGCCCAAACACAGATCTTACTTTTCGTCACAAGTCCAGTGCTTCGTGCTTCGTGCTTCGTGCTTCGTGCTTCGTGCTACTTCTGGTGTTCCAAGGTGTTTGCCAGTCTGCCTCTGCTCCGAAGCCACAACGACAGTTCAGGGACGCAATCAGATTCCTCTTTTCACAGAACCACTCCCTCCCCGCCAAAAAAAAAACTCAAATTCCTGCGTTTCCGGCTATTGTGGTTTACTGACAACCTGACAAGCAGACAACTGCAACATCCCCTCCCCTTCCTCATTCCTGAACACCCGAATTAATTTCGTGTCCTGGAGAGCAGATTAATTGACTTCCTGTCAACAGAGGCTATCCCGTTCACCTGTTATGTGGACATGCTTTGATCCGATTTGATTTGAAATCTTTTGCAACAATCATCTTGCGAGCAGCTCTGGTGATGAACTTGCAGGCAGGGTCGTCCCCATGATGAAGCCTCGATTGACGGCACCAAACACCGCCGCAATAATAATTGAAGTGTTTCAATTTTGGATGCTACATTATTCCCACCAGTCGAGTCCGAGTCCGAGTCTCATGATGCCGCAAGGATTTCTTAGAAGCTATGATTGTCCACCATCGACGCCCCATGCGGGGATTAGGAAGAGATGTAATCAAAGGTCACTTAGCCCCTGTATCAAGCAGCCAGCTCTGGGGAAAACTCTCCTTACGGTAGCCTATCCAGTGTCCACGAGTCCACGACGCCAACTGTCAGATGCTGCTGAGTCTTTGGTGCAAATCTTGCCTCGCTTCCCTCTTCTGAGATATCTCATCGGCCTCATCCTCTCCTATCCATATTGCCAGATCTCGAGTCCACGGCGGCTCGACGGCTGCGCATGTTCCCGATCGTACAGTACAAGTGCATCTTTACACGGCCGTTCCACCGGCTCTAGGCGGGGTTAAAGTACTGTAAAAATAACCCTCCCCGAAGAGAGTTTAGCTCAGCCGAATTTTTTTTAAACATCTCAACATCGGACGAAGTCACGTTGGGTGACCACCAATTATTATTGTCTCCACCACACCGTTGGCACGCCCGTGCCAAAGATGGGGTTGCCTGCCTGACCAAAAGACCCTGGATATTGGCGAGGCGGCTATGACGAGAGGTCCCGGTCTCAACCTCGCACACTGCTCACGATACTGTAGTAGCATGGAGTCAAGTCGACGTCGTCATACTCTTTACCAGTACAATTAGAATGGTTCAAGTCGATCTCTCTTGCATGCCAGAATGTCCGCAACCTATGATATCAATTTTGAGGCCCATTCGAAGAGTTTGTCGGCCAGGTTTTCCTCAGGCCCAAAGTCGTGCTTTAGTTCGGTTTGTCCTTGAAGCGTCAGAGTTCCATCCTGACCCTCCACGATGCAAGCCAACCAGGACAGTCATCCATCCATCGTGAGCTTCACAGCCCGGACGGACAAACCGGAGCTGTTGAACAGACCACAGCCTTGCCTCGCCCCTATGGAGCTCAATTAGGAAGCAGATTTGCACTGACGTCGCCGAATTGCCATCCCATCAGCCAAACCCCAACCTTACATCTCGTTTTCACGCACACAAACCCCATTCTGGCAGCTTGCAGAAATCAGAACCTGGTGGTAGCTTCTCCACTCTCTTTTCTCCTCGACTATTCAAAGATATCCCGCTCATGACTTGACTGTTGTAGTCAACCTCCGCCTTCAACCTCACCACCAACCCACAGCAAGAGCGACACCGGCTTCAAAACGGCACATTAAAGGAAGTACTTTGTTATCCGCGGGTATTCGTTGCATTCTGAGTGGATTGGAGGCGGCCTCGACCCCTCTTTGATACTGTACAGTAGCGTTTGCTGTGCAAATTGACCCTTCGCATGGCCTGTCAGAAGCAACCCCACGTTGAAGCCCAACGAACCTTCCCCCTCGTCCGACTCCTTAGCCACAAAAAGCTGCATGCATCTCAGACATCTATCCAATCCATTGTCCGTTGTCCATCGTCTATCATCCATCATCACCATTTTTCTTCCTGTCCTATCGAACCGCCTCGGCTTTCCCCCTTCGCCCAAGCGTCAAGAGCTTTCAGCAGATCCCACTACTCAAGACTCCAAGCCCCGAGCAAATTACTCATGACCTGCAGCATCCAACCAAGCCATCCCAAGCCATCCTCCATCCTCCAAGCCCACAACCGCAACCCTCCCATCATCCCGAATGTATCCGTCGTCACTACTACGAGCCGACGATGTGCCTTTCCTGCCCCTCCCCTCTCCAAACTCAAAGAGCCAGCCGTCTAGACGCAGGACATGACAAACACTTGCATATTACTGGAGCCTAGAAATGGCCCAGAAGCTTTCAGACACGCACATGCAGAAAGGGAAAGTACGCAACCCAACGAATGTAAAGCAAGGCAACGCAACGCAACGCAGGACAGACGGGCTGGTATCTCCCATTCCTGTTGTTCTGTTCCATGACTGCAGCGTGCATGACCAAACCGACGCTCGACGGGAAATCGGGAGCTTGGCAAGTGGCGTGGAAAAGGAAAAGGAGGTTGTCTCCGGCTCCGTCGTTGAACGTAGGATTTTCCGAGGTCCGATTTAATCCTGCAATCCTCCCTGGTTTCAACGTCTTGGGGAGATTTGATGGGCAGGCAATGCGGATAGGTACAGCAACATCCATCTGGGCACTTCGAATCACATGTAGCTCACGTGTCGTTCCTTTTTTTTTTTTTTTTTTTTTTTTTTTTTTTTTTTTTTCGGGGGGAGTCAACTTGGAAGAGTACTACAGGTAGGTAAGGTATTGGAAAATGTTCACGACACGATGTCCAAAAATTGCAATGTGCTCAGATGTAGAATATTCAGTCTACGTTCAGGGCTTAATTGGACTAGCAGCACCCTCGGCACGCACACTTGAGGTAGAGTAGGTATGCCAACTGGGTATATCTCCATCACTAGGTAGGTAATATTGCCACAATTGTCACTGGGTTTCCACCTGGGGCCATACACAGGACGACGACAAGATCCCATGTTTTCTATTAACCATCAATGTTCAGAAGCTAATTCCACTACTTGCCCAAAGTGGGAGGCATGTGCCACGACCATCACTGACATTACTACGGATATGTTTACCGCCTCGGAGTTTCTACGATTACACCATCCTCCTTATCATCAGAAATGAGGTCGATCGTCGTTATGAGACCTTTTCGTTTGAAACTGCTTGTCGGATGAAGCACTTTCCCATCCAAATTCACCTCAAATGTCTGCCGGTGCCTTGGCTTTCTACTTTCATTCATTCTAGAGAACAAGAGCCGTCTCCCTTACGCTTCGTGGCTGATTTGAGAATCCTGTCATCAGAATCCGTCTCTTAAATATTCTGGCATCTTTCTTGCGTCGCGTGCACACTCCTCTTTGATTCACCACATCGCTCGCGACATCATCCGGTTCAATGATTGTTTGTCGTCGCCGTCCTGCCGTCTTCTTTGCCTTTCCTTGCGGCTGACAGCAGGTCTCGGGGACGCTGTTGCTCGTTAAGTGACACTGAGGGTTGCCTAGAGTAAGTTGCGGCTGTTTATCTAGAAGAGTTAGGATTTCGGCTCAGAATTTCATTAATGGACGGATGGTTGTAGCAACCCAAAATCGCTGACTGAACTAGAATTGGTCAGCGGTAGGTTGTCATCCTCTTGATCTGGTTCCGAATTGTTCTCTGAAAATAAACACCTCCAACGCTGCCGTTCTTCTCAGAGTCCATCCAAATAGCAGTTGCTACCATCAATCCTTTCATTAAAACCAGTGCGAACGACAAATCTATAACCGGAGTCATATGACCTAACGTCCACATATCGATCCTTCCATGGACCAAGTTGATCTCCTATGTCAATCCTGGGATCTTGAATACTGGGCTTTCCGTGCGCCTTTCCGCTGTCTCCATTCCCACTGTCTCCTTTTCAAACATGCGAAGATTCAGTGCCCATTGGGTTGGTTTCTCTTGTCCATCCTTACGATCGTTGTTCTGTTAGATTTCTCTGGACTCGTGACCTTCCAAAGACTTGAACCAAAGTTGCTGGTTTAGGATTCTCGTCTTTGACTTGCTGTAAAGGCGAGCACATTGGGAGAAAGGCCCCCTTCTCTGCATTATCGACGATAAATCAATAGTGTTCACTGACGGAGCCCTTCCCAAGCTAGTCAAATCCTCTCCTCTGTTTCTCCCACGCCACATTAACGCTGCTCCGGGATCATTGTCAATCTCCACGTCATCTCTCGGCTCAAAAAGTGTGCCTTCATAATAATAATGGTATGGCACTGTGCGTTGACTTAAATGTCTGGAGCGCAGCGCGCGCCGGGTCGTCCAAGATCCCAGTCAATGAAAGTTTTTCCTTGATTTGCTTTGCCACCGATTGTTCATTTACTGCCTCTCTAAGAATGGAACTGATCCTGAGCACACGCTGACCGAGTTGGGACAGAGATTGAGCTACGTAGTCTTAGAAACAGAAACACTACTTTATGGTAGAGTTTTGGTGCCAACCCATAGGAATATTCCCTTAATACTGTACATGATTTTCGCTATGATCAGGTACCACGGAGATTCATGACTTCACAGCACCATCAATCATCAGGATCATCGTCACATTTGCATAGGTTGTAAGTAAAGCAACGTGCTCTTTCTACTACATAGTCTGTTGAAGTCGTTGTACATCAGCATGCTATGCCTGAAAAAAAGTCCAATCAGCCAGTCAATCATTTATTAAGAGTCAGGATCCTCTAGGTAGTCGTCAACCTCGCTATCCCGCGTCATGGCATGATCACGATATCTGAAACTGTCTTTTGAGCTGATGAAGACGAAGTCGTTGATCGCTGGTGAGCTAGTGGTATTGGGAGTTGGTCTAGAAGCCTGATTCTTGTCTACCGATATGCTCTGGGCATCCTTGACAATATCCGAGTTCGTGGATCGCGAATCATTGCCCTTCGCTTCGATGTCCCCGAAGTTCTTGGGCTGGAGTCAGCATGATCATTCAAGTTGTCAGGGCATTTCTCACGAGGTCGGCGGGTGTCAGTAGAACGATGATTTCGAGATCTCCTGAGGTCTTCTTCAACCAGCTGAGTTCGTAGAATTTGCAGCTCCTCCGACTTTTCTTGAGCAGCTTCAAGGGCGCTCTTCAACTCTACTTGAATTGCTCTATCTTGTGCCTCGTGTTCTGCCCTTAGACTGTCGATTCTGTTGCGAGCCTCCTTGCGAAACATTGTAAACTCTTCTGTGATCTTCGTCAGTGAGGTATTTACCTCCTTCGACTGCTTCTCAACGATGGCCATATTGTCAAGGTTGGCAGCGACTTTTTCCTCGTCTTGTTTTAACTGTTCTGCTCTGACTTGCAACTTTTCAAATTCCATGTCCCAGATTTCTTGTTGCCTTCGATTAGCATCTTCTTGGGCAGACTTGGCTTCAACGACTCGCAAGTTCTCTCTTTCTCGAGCTTCAGTTTCTTGAGTAATGCGGTCTCTTTCTAGGATTTCGGCATTCTTCTTCCGTGCTTCTTCACCTCTTTGGTTCATCATGAGTTCAAAGTCCAATCTCTCCCACGCCAAAGTTTCTTGTTGCTCTCGCAGTTTGTCTTTTCGTTTCTGGATATCGATTTCTGTTAGATCCTGCGCGAAGTTTCCTTGCTCGCTTTGCTCCTTGTATTGACGCTCCTTGTCGGCAAGCTCGGCGCTGTCCCTGTCCATGCATTCCTTTTCCAGTTTCAAGACCTCAAACAACTTTTCAAGGTCTGCTCTCAGCCGTTCCAGTAAAAGCTGCTCTTCACCTATCTGTGCTCTTTCTAGTCCCTGTCGTTTTAAGATTGCCTTCTCCAGACCTTGAAGTCTGGTCTTGGTGGCTTTTTCGTGTGAGCAGAACTGCTCGGTTGGGTCATTCGGTTCCAGCAGTTTGTTTTCTGCATAGTTTATCCTGCGCTTGGCTTGTGCGAGGTGCTCTCCAATTCTCTTTTCCTTTGCTTCTATCTCCTCGCGCCTTTGTCTAAGTGCCAACTCGTTTTCGGACTTTCTGTTCTCTGCTTGCACAATAGCACGTTGCATTTCTACGAGATGTAGGCTTGCATCTACTATTGGGATCTCCTTGGCATAGACTCCATTGTTGTCAGTGAGCCAGATTCTACCGCAATTCGAGACTTTAATAGGCATGACCTCTCGAACAAGTTGATTTCTTGTTTCCAAGGTTTTTTCCAGGGATGATAGTTTTTGGGTGAAGACGAGGATTTGAAACAGAGTCCCCCTGCTACCAAACGCGGTTATAAGCTACCACAGCGGAAGTCAGCGCGAATCATGCCGTTCTTTGAAGTATTTCGAATCAGTCGCACAGCTTGCGAATAATCTACCTTGATGCCACTCCAAGACTCACAAGCAATGTAGAAGGTACATGTTGAAACACTAAAGTAAGCCTACTGACTGCAACGAAGCTAATTCCTCTATTTGTAGTCATCCTTAGTTTGACTCACCCTCGAAAATCTGCTACAAGTCACTCTTTAATACATGAGCATGAATTTTAAAATCAGCATTATCGAAGTAGCACTTCAGTTCCTGAAACTCAACGACTTTTGCATAAGTGACACTCTCTCCTAGACTGCCCCTCTCGAACCCATGATTCTCATCAATTAACCTCGGAACTTTCCGCACTATTTCCAGCTACCTCAGCGCCTTCCGCAACTCCAGCAGCCAGAATATCTTGCAACTCCTCTCCTATGAGATATGCCAGCAATCTATCACACTCCTCCATGTCATCAATGATGAAGTAAATGCCCCCTGACCCTGACTCCAACTCCGAACTCGATTCCGACCGTGGCCTCGTCTCCGATTCCGACGACTCCCCTGACACCCCTGTACCAGAAGCCTCCTGTGATTCAGCAGGTTGTTTCCATTCCTTGGTGATATTGTCGAAGGATTTCTCTACTGCGGAACATTCGCGAACCACTTCTTGGAGTTGGGTACAGATTTTGGTGAGCTCGTCGACAAGTTTTCTTTCGACTTGACGAATTTTGACTTGGATGGCGCAGAGCTTTTGAGCGTATCGTTCGTGGTTCTCGAGCTGTTCGCGCATGGCGGTTCTCTTACTTTCTGATAGAGGCATGTTTATGTTGTAGTGAGGTGGTGGTTTTGAAGTGTTGTCAAGATGAGAAATTGGAGTAATTGTGGCTATGGTCTGTGGGAGGAGCACTGCGTATATATGCATCGTAAGACCATTAAGTGAGCCACTAATAGAATGAATGACAACGTATAATACAATTCATAGTCAAAAACAGCAGCAGCGAATAATGATTGAAAGATACGTGCTTTCTATGACGGATTGTTTGAGGTGTATCGTCACCAAGCAAATAAAGCGCAAAAAATGTGTCGTTTGTGTAGGGAAGCATAACAAGAACTCCAGCAAGGAGTATGCTTAACCTTACAGTTCAAACTGTCTTGACTCACAACCGGTGAAAGCTCTTTGGGTCCACAAAACCAGTAATATTTTGCTGGCAAGTAAATTCCACCTATATGATTGCTAGTGGTCTGAATGTGTACTTAGCAGAGTTCAGACACGACCTCGGTCCAAAAAAGATTAACATTTGGAAAATTTCAAATGTTGTCTTTTCTTCCCACAGGACACGGAAGTGGCTCTTGTATTAATCATCACAGCCAAGTTTCCTCCAGGCTTCGGAACTAGTTTGTTTATAGCTAAGCGAGAATTCCATGAGGTGCCAAGTGTACACACGCCAAAATCCATTACGTCCATCATTTGTGTTCGAACATATATTGAGCGGGGTGGTCTGCTGATGTGATGGGCTGACCTTGTACTCCTCTGACCGAAACCCACATTTCAGCCTAAGCACCTGAGCTTCTCAAGCCTATTAGCAGCACAATAGATGATCACAGCATATCGGCTTACACCTTAGACAAAACTGATTGGGGTACAGAATCTTGTCAAACGTCTCTAAAGGTAAGCAATCAGGTGAGATAAATGTTGCCCTTAACAAGGATCAGTGCCTTGGTTACCTTGGTTACCTCGGAAACCAAGCTTGAGAAAAGCAAATCCACCTAGCTTTCTGGGACCAGATCGAGCCCCCAATGTATGAAAATTTCATGAGTTTAATAGAGAGATTAAAACCAGACAGATATGAAACAACATCAAAAACACCTGCCAATCAGAAAGGTCTATTGGAAAAGGAGCTAGAAGCCAGCCACAAACACTCTACCACGAGAACCACTCACGAATCAGAAAGGTACAACGAAGAAATCGGTTCCAACCATTATTTACATTCCAACCCAACTGCTGATATGCTCAGATTTCCCTTATTTCGTTTGTTGATGACGTTTCTTTGCGAAGGTATCCAGGATGACTTGACTCCTAACGATGCAACTTAGTTCGCTTGGTGATTATATGAGAATTGGATGAGCAGTTTAAGGATTTCTCTAGGAGCTCGATAGATTCACTATTGTGAGGTCTATTTGAACGATTGACTCTCACTAGTGACTTTGAGCTGCATAACCGGTGTTCATTGCAAGTAACCTGGATCTAGGTACAAATATACCATTGTTGAGCCACCGCGGGTGGCAATAAGTGTAACTACTAGTCTCAATGATCTAAGACTTCAGACGTATCATGTGACTCTAGGCTCATCCAAGGGATTCGTCTGGGTCTCTTTCCGTAGCAGACCGGAAATCACTACTGATTCCCGCAGCAGGAATTGATCTACTGGATCTTACCACAGACCTAGCGCAACATACCACGCAGCGTATTACAATCTGTTACTAATTCACCCCGATGATGCAACAAACGTAAGAAAAGATGCAGAATCTATCCATAAATCCCCGGACTGCCACTGTTGTACGAAGAAAAAACACCCTAGTCAACTTTCGAACGTATTGACGGGCTGGTATCCGTAACCAAGCAAGCAAATTTCGATGTCACACTACTTCGTAAAGCAGTCATCATCACAGAACTCGAAGTTTGGACAGACAATTCATCACGTAATATGACTATGTCATGTTCCTTTTGGTTTTCGCCCTTTTGTTCCGTATTGGATCTTTTCTCTTTTGGTTCTATGTGGTCAGAGACATTCGCGCTATAATTATTATCAAACAAGAGCTTGGCTCCTTGGTTAGAAATCAATATAATTTTGATTTTGTCAAAACTGGGAGAAAAAAGTCGAATTAAAGAACAGGCCGCCCGTGAAGTGATGTTTTCCGAGGATGAACGAAGCATTCCTTGCTTCGATACAAGGAATAAAATAAGCATCTAAAAGCCCATGGTTCTTTTCAACATCAAGACTTCGTGCTTTGTGACAAACACACCCTTGCTCTCCTGACCAATCCCCAAACCGTCACCGTCGCTATTCCCATCGGCTCCAATACCGGACTCCAAAGCATCGACCAAGTCTCGGACCTTCGCCATTTCCCAATTGCCGTTTTGTGTTGTCCAGAACACGCGCTTAATGCCCACCGCGTGCATGGCACTCACGCAACGGTAGCATGGTTTTGAAGCACGGATCTGTGGTCGAGGATTGTCATCCCGACCGACCTTTGAAGACGTGGAAGGAGATACAGAACGGAAAAGTGGCGACAGCTCATCGTGAAGAGATGCTGGAGGCGACCTTGGTACTTGTTGTGGAATCAGTAGCTCAGGTGATTCTGTTGGCGGAGGCTTATGCTTCCTACTTGGCGTCTTTTGTGACGTCCCGAGGCGGGCAACGTAGAGATCTGACCCTTTAAGACGGAGATCTTTAGTTCGTGCTGCTGTGTTTGGCCTGGCCGATGATTTATGCTTAGTGATTAGGATCTGCTGGGATTTAGTAGGGTTGAGTGTTTTTTTGGAAGGCTACACAGCATTAGAAATACGTCAATGAAAAACCTGGGGGCGAGCTACCTTTGCCTTGTTTTTATTCGAGCGAAAAAATTTGTTATCGGAGCTAAGTGACGGTAAATCTGGTATAGAGGTGTCTATGATGATCTTGGTCCGTGGCTTCAAACCACTTTTATGTGCAGAGTGTTTCTGTTGTGCTATGTACTGATAGTGACTGTCGTACTGATACCCATCCTGGTAGAGATGAGATTGTCTCTTCGTCAGCCGTTGTTTCTCTGCACTTTTCCATGTGTTTGCTGCCACGTTTTCGTTCAATTTCTCGTTCTGAAATCCGACGTCCTCCTCCTTGGCGTTGGCCTCGTTGCCATTGTCCCGCTGGACCTGATTGAGATGTACAGGGTTCAAAGTACGACTTTTGAAGAGAGGACTCGCCACCGGAGGCTTTTCCTGTGCCTGTAGAGGTGGCTTCCTCGTAGGTGGCTTTGACGTAGGCTTTAAGAGCACGTGCTCGGGCTTTGCGTTGTTTAGAATCACCCGGTAACTTTACGAAATGGTAAGTTAGTAATCGCCGAATAATAGGCATATCTTATAAGAAGGATATGATTTGTCTGCGGAAAGTCCCGAGTCCCGAGACAAGGGAAAGTAGAAGTGACAGGCCTGCTCAATACGTACCTTGAAGTACGGTTTTTCGAAGTACTTCGCCGAGCGAGCCGAGGTCTGAGAAGCCTGAGTACCAGAAGAGAGAGAAAGAGCACTACGGATGGCCATCATCTCTGAGTGCATACTGAGAGCAACATTGGCATTGTGGCCACAGCCCATGGATTCGAAAGGAGTAAAAGTCCCCTCCTCCGGCTGATTCGGCGTCTTCGACTTGCTTTTCGGCTTGGACTTCAAGCGCTGCTTGAGCTCAGCGATCGCTGGACCATCTGCGTCCCTTGATGGTAAAGCACCGCTCTTGAGCGCACCGCCATCAAAGCCAGGGCGGTAGCAGTTAAAACCTTGCCCAATTACCTTGCCACCGCGAACAATGATCGCACCGTGGCGGTAGTGCAGAGGGGAGAGTTCGGCCTGAGCAAGGCAGAGGGACAATAGAGTATCGCTGCGGGAAGACATTTTGTAAATTTGATTGTTTACTTTTGGATGGGATGTCGTTTGTAATCTGGAGATCTACGGAGGTAGAGCTGAGTGGAGGTGAATTTAGTGATTCAGCTTTTCGAAAGGGATGCCGTTTTTTCTGGGACTTTGAATTTTGGAGGAGGATTTTAGTCGCAAGGACGTAGGTCGTCGAGTCTGAAGATGAGCTGTAGAGGCTGGATGTACTGGTGTTCTGTGAACTGTGTGTGGTAACGATCAACAAGTCCGCTTTTTGTTTTAAGGTAATCATGGACGTTGTCGCTAACTTTACGCTAGCGTGAAGTGTCACTAGTTGGCTCCACCAGTGGGGGAGATCCGGGGAGCATACGAGTAGATGGTTCACGACACAGATGACATGACAGGCACTTAAATGGGAAAAATCCAGATGAATATCATTATTGCTACAAGGATCAGTCTATCTTGCAGATAGGTTGTGCATATCACACCAAAGCAACGCCACATTGAGTCACTGCCACGTGATCACTTCTTACACCTCTGTTGTACACTCCAATATAGTCGCTCTACTTCAACAGCCTACACGACCCCTTTGTCGATAATCGGTGCTCGCCTATGACCAGACTGGCTTTCAGAGCCCCATTTGTTCTTCCACTGCATCTCTTTCACTAAAGCCTCCTCGAGAGCAAGACGGCATTCCTCAGGAAGTTCTGCTTTGATATCATCAGAGATACCAGCCAGGCCATTCAGACCAAGGTCGTGGAAGTCACCATCTGGACCTGGTACGACCAAAGTCGAGGAAGGAGAAGATTCAAATACTGTGTCAACTATCATGTAGTTTTTGGAGCATATCGGCTTGACTGGCGTGAAAATGCTTGGCTCCATGTTCTCCTCGGTATGACCGTTTGTCAAAGCTTTGATTTCAGCCTCGCTGTCGTCAATCTGCTCCCATCTGGCGTGAGTTGGCTGCATTGTCTTGGGGTAGTGCATGATGTTGGTATGCGGGTCGTAGATCCCCGGGAGAGTCTGTCGACGGACACCTCCCAGAGCAGCATTGAATCGGCTAGACACAAATTAGTATATCGAAGGTTAATTGGCTACTCGAACGTACCTTGCCTCCCGAGCGTGCTCCAGCATCCAGTTGACATCATTTATCATGACCTTTCTCTTTATGCCGGGAATTGGTTTGCCAGTCTGTTGAGGAACAGTAGGTGCACCAGAGTGATAGACTGAACTTGCTCCATGCCACGCCACATACTGATTCTTGTTGTAGTCCTCTCCAGCCTTGAAGATATCATTTGGATCGGCCAATTCGCCCTCTACCACACCCTCAGCCTTGAGCTTCGTAACCTCATAATCATCGGTAATTCTCTTGCCACCAACAATAATCTGAGCACCAAACTCGCGGAAGACAGACCGGGCGGTGCAAATACCAATGGCACGGCCCTTGTAGGAATGTGGAATGAGCTCGCGATCGATCAAGTCACGCTTCTCCTCATCGTTTATAATGATCTTGTACAGTCGCTTGTGCTTTGTGAAGAATAGGTAGCTGTCTCGAAAGCCCACACATCTTGCTGGTTCAGTGGACAACATGTACAGTCGCTCTCCTCTGTTCAGTACAGTGAAAGTCCTGCAACGATATTCTCGGCCGCCTTGGAGATTTCCCAGCTTGTCAACCTTCTTCTCGCCCTCTGGATCTTGTGGTAGGTCAAGCTCGTCATCGATAACGTCCATCATATTCCCATCTTTGTCAATCGGCTGTTGTGTAACATGTGATGGTCCAGCTCTCTTCGCCCATCTTCCTCCGCCCCTGAGCCCAGATCCTCGGCCACGCCCTCGCCTCGGAGTGCTAGTTTCGGCGGTATTGTCCGGCTCCTGGGTATCCCAATCTGCGGGTCGATTTTTTGGTGGCCTTCCTAATCTTTTCTTACGAACAACGGGCTCTGGAACAGGCGTTGATGGTGCTTCCTCTTCAGCATCTGACTCCGCTGCTGGAGTTCCATCCTCAGCATTCTCATCTTCACCATCTGGTTGACTAGCGGCGTCAGATTGAAAGGCATCTGGCATTTGCTCATCGTCGCCATCGTCGTATTGGGGAGTGTTCTCTAAGGCCGGGGTCAATAATCCGTGATCAATGCGCCGGAGGCTTTGCAGCAAAGAAGCTTACTTAAGGCAGCAGCAGCATTTTTTGCTGCAGCTCTACCAGGTCGTCTACCCATTCTGGGGGAGTTTGAGCGGTTGGAGTGATCAGTGGTGGTGACTTTTCACAACTGATGGACAAATTGTTGCGCGCTCCTCCCAAGTCGACGCGAGATACTGCGGTACAGGGTGGGTCTAACCATTCGTGGACTGGTGCCAAGCCATCTGGCGCATCTAGCTCCATCCACTCCGCCCGCCTCGTTTCCATCCTCTGCTGCCTCAAGGTACCGGTTCCCTGTCTTCACCTTCCGCCTTTTGATGCTTACCTACTTTCAACGACCAAGGGACAGGAACTGATAGCGAAATTGGCCAACCTCATCTTCTAGCCTGACATGCTATGCTATGTAATATCGCAAGTTGAGTATGTGTATTTCAAGTGTCAATGTCAATGCATAACTCTAGTTGCACGGCACTCCTCTCAGCAACAAACCATATGTGAAATGTCACAATACATCTTCTACATTGGCTCGTGAAGCAACTTTCCGGGTCTTTGGTAGGTTGGTAGGTAGCTGGTAGACGAGAGATCACGAGGCGTTACAAAGAAGAAGTTTGCCAGATATCGTTCTGTCCAGACATCATTCCGTACCCGCCATGGATCATTCCTCGACTCTTACCTTGACTGGAAATCTATCACTTTGCGAAGAGGAAGGAGACGATGAATAGAGGACGCCTGAACAAGACTCTGAATTCGACGTTCCACCACTCATAAGCCGCTTTCAATTGGGGAGTTGTCAGTATTAGGATCGTCAACCATGGTCGACTTGATGTCACCAATCTGATACTCGCGGAGTCATGTTTCATTGCACTGTCTAATGTCGCATCTTTCTTGTTGTGATGTGGATTGCCCTGAATTTGCTTTAGACACTTCTATTACAGCCAAAAAGCACATCTACATAGGTCCACGAGTCTCTGCCGCCGTCTCCTTACACTTCGTTACATGTGGGCAGGTTACAGCAGTTGTTTGAATAAGGCAAGAAACGTTGCTTTTCTACAAGGCCTAAGCAGTATGATTGTTTGTATGTAAAACAGCTCTGGGAATGGTGCAGACCCTAAGAATCGGAATGAAAAGCAAGTCGCGAACGGTTTTCGGATACCTTACCTATAGCTAAGTATTCCGAAAATTACATCGAAAGGGACTGTATGTCCTCGAGTCTTAGGTCAGCGCGGTATATCTAGCACTGAGGTGCAGGAGTTATACAGCTATTCTTCAGTTTGGCGTGATTCTTCGGTAAATAACGCCGACTCACCGACTTTTGCTATAGACCCTACTAAAAGATAATGACCTAGAATTGTAACCTCCATAACTCCATCAAATCTCCATCGATTTACCTCTAAATTAGGTCATTTTGAAGCTCTTAAACTCCCCTCTCTATTTCCACTTAATATTCTCGAATATACCTCTAAAGAAAGCTCGAAATAGTTAAGGGAAACCTTCTAAAAAGAAGGCTCTACGTACTCCACTTCCCCCACTGCTAGTAGCACTTAAAATAACCCTTAAACTTAGTACAAGTCAAGCTAGTAGTTCTTCTATCGGTTCTACTGTTAGTACTTCAGCTTCTACACCTAATTTAAGTGTAGGAGTAGTTGTGCTAGCTATAAGATTAGCAGAGCCTCTATCGCTACCCCCCTCTTTACCTTCTAAGCCTTTATCGATTCCGTAAGCTCTCCCCCCGCTAGAACCTCTTATTATATAGTCTCCTACACCTCTGTAGATTAAAATATAAGCTATAAACTTTGAGATTCAGTAGTACCTTAATAGTAAGTGAATAGGCAGTATAATAAAGAAGGTAACTAACGAGCTAGGCGTTAGAGTTACCTATAAATCTATTAAGGAAGCCGCAGAGACGTTAGCAGATACTACGATTAAGTTAAGGGGTATTTCTCTACTACGGAGAGATTATACTTACTAGTATAGCACCTGTAGAAACGTTTAAAACCCTACGGAATATAATATTATTAATAAGGCCGATTTTAACTACTTTATCGAACAAGCTCGAATCACAGGGAAATTAAAGCAAGGAAAGCTTCAAATATGCTTTAGTATCACACAGATACCTCAGAATATAGTTCGACTACCTTAGAAAGACCCTCCTGCTCCAAAGGCTCCAGTTATTACTATTCCGAAGCGTGTGTATTAAGAGGAGGAAAGCTCGATAGCAAAGAAGCTATGTACTGTAATAACTCGTCTTTTAGAGGAAGTTGAAAAGAATCAGGTGTAACAGTCCGGTATTTACTTGCTATAAATACAGAAAGCTGCAGTTAATCTCTGACGATCGAGAAGTAGGTGTATCACGTAGACAGAAGATAGTTACTAAGTATTAAAATACTATTTGAAGTTAAGCACAAAGCTCCTATCTAATAGCAGATATACTAGTCTTATATAGAACCTTCGTTCTTCTTAGATCCCTTGAGATACTAGATCCTTAGATCCTTAGATCTATTCCCTTATAAAGGGATCTAGGGATCTAGGGATCTATCACATGACCTATTATCTACCGTGATCTAAGTAACTATTACTACTAAGCGTGAATATATAGTAGTACTACTTACTATCCTGTATTATTCCCTAGTTAGTACTACCCTATTAATAGCACTGCTCTTTCGTTAGTACTAATACCCCTATAGTACTACTGATAGTACTATTAGTATATAGGTGCCAACTGAACCGTAGCGCTAAGGGGTTCGTAATACTATCCCCCTCTTAGCTTAGTGTAGTCCCTACGCTTAAGTATAACCTTAAGGGATATCGATAGTTACTAATAACTATCTTTCTTATCTATTATATCTAGTATCGTAAAGAAATTAAGTGTCACTTAGATAAAGAAAAAATAGAGTATCTAGCTCGCGCTCTATATCGAGCGTGCTACGTAACTTGTAAAGCTTTGTTTCTTCTGCTATAGCTTTTCCTGTACCTACTTCCTAGATTTATCTATTTTAAAACGATACTCTAAGTATATTCACTTAAAGTGTTACGATTATAATACCTCGGGGTATATTAAGAAGTTCACTCCTAAACGACCTATATACTAGTTCAAGATAGGAAAAACTATGATTCCTACTTGCCTTCTAACGCCTCCCTTTAAGCTTGTTAAGGATAATCCTACTTCTTAGTTCCTTGCCTTCGAACCTAACGCTTACTTAGCGTCCTTTTCCGAGGGCTTAGTCCCTAACCTTAGGTCCCCTTCCTTCTAGGTAAACCTAGATTTCTTTAATAAAATTCCCGTAGAAGCCTAGGGTAGTAGAGGTTAGATTTAAGTTCCTAAGTGTTTTCTAATTATAGGTACCTTTTTTATTTAATTAAATATTTTGTTTTACTATAGAAATACTAATAGTTAAGAATAGCTTTTACTTTATATTCAGTGTTCGGATTAATCGGTTATATTTCAGTGATAGGAGCCGGTAGTGCTCCTAGTAGTACTAGTTTAAGGAGAGATATATGGAATACTAGGTAGATATTTATTATCTTTAGTAGAGCTAGTTAATAATTAACTAGTCCCTTAACTTTAGTAATCCTGAATAGTCCTAGCTTCTTATAATCTAATTTATGACTTAGTTGTTTAGTTACGATATTCTTTCTAAGTAAGTAGACTTTATCCCCCTCCTTAAGCGTTAGTCTTATACTACGCTTTCTATTGTAGTAGATCACAGATCTCTGCGTGATAAAGAGAATATCAGCTGACAATTCTTTATAGAGCTATTTAAGCTTACCTGCCTGTAGTATAGCTTCTTACGCGGTACCCTAACTAGCTATTAGTGGGTTATATACCGTGGGATTATGCCTATAATTCACGTAGAACAGCGATACTCTAATAATCTCTTGATCCGCGCTATTATATATAAACTAGGCAAGTGGGAGTAGTTGTACTTAGTTATCTTACTTATAGTTTATATAACACTGAAAATAAGTCTCTATTATCTAATTAATTTGTTCTGTTTATATATCGGTCTAAAGATAGAATATAGTTAATATTTTCTACTTTATTCCTAAGAGTATGATAAGAGTTTTCCAGAACTTTAAGGTAAAGAGTTTATCTCTATCTAAGATAATCTTATCTAGTATTCTGTAGCTTATGAAGATTATTCTAAGGAATACCTACGCTATCATAGGCGTGTCCTATGTTCTAAGTACTAGTACTATATATATATACTTTATAAACTTATCCGTTATTATATAGATTAAGTTATATATGATTCCTATGACTAGGTCTTTCGAGGGTAGTAGCTTAACTACGAAATCCAAAGCGATTAATTTCTATAAGTAAGGTAGTATTATTAATAACTTCATGAGCCTATACGGAGTATAATATGATACTTTATTCCGGATATATATATCATATGACGCTACTACGTCTTTAACTATCTTCTTTATTCCTAGGAAGTAGTATTCCCTAGATAGCTTAGATAGTATCTTAGCTACCCCCTGGTGTCTATAAGCGGGTAGTCTATACTAGTGCGTAACGAATTTAATCCTGTCCCTAGTAGGTATATAGATTCGTCCTTAGTATAGAAGCGTGCTGTCTAAGGTAAAGGAGAATCCTTCGCCTAGCTGCTTCTTCTATTCAGCTATAACTAGGTCGTTAGTATAATCCCTTCAGATTTTCTCAGTGACCTAGCCTATTAAGGCTAGCTATCGGGAATTAACTATTAGTAAATCACTATCCCTTCGTAGTATAGTATAGGATTCGTGAGTTTTATTTACAAGATATTCTAGTTTCTTACTTAGGGCGTTAGCCCTAGCGTTTTCCGTTCCCTTGATATAAGAAATTCGAAGTTTTATAGTAGAGAGTGTTTTATACTATCGAACCTAGCGTCAGTTTAATTCTTTAGTAGTTATAAAGTAAATAAGATTCTTATAGTCCGTTAGGACTTGTACTTCGTGGGCGGCGCCCTTAAGGTAGACCTTCTATTCGCGTACTATATCTATAATTGCTAGCAACTCTTTGTTATATATATTATAGTTAAGTTCTGCTAGTAATAGTTTCCGCGAATAGTAAGCGACTAGTTACTATCTTCCGTCCTCGCCTAGCTAGCTGAGCACGGCTCTAATAGTATAGTCCGAAGAATCTATCTCT